TGAAGTACGACATCGAAGTAGAACAACTACAATAGTTCAGATGTGTTACAATGTCAATTCTAAATAACATCGTTCTTACGTATACTGACAGTTGCACTGAACGTTCACTTAGGTATGATTAGCGTAACAGTTGGATGTGTGAATAAAAACATATACGAAAACTATGGTTGGGTTCGTGGAGAATTTTCGAGGACGTTTAGATATTTTCCAAACCCGTATCGCATGTAAATAAACCGAAAATAGAATTAAAATGACTGTTGTGTAATAAGGAAATCGAGCCATGATTTACCGTGTGAATTATTAGCAAATACAAGGGGTATAATAAACATTAATTAAAATGGTAACCACCAATGAAACTAAGGTTTAGAGGGTACAGGTAACGTGGTCATTTCGTAAAAGGCTGATACAAAGAGTTTATTACCTAGCATTAAGTGACATATTAAGTACGACATGTGTAATTGGGATATGGACTAAGCGTGCTCGTGTACATGCAATATGTTTTACCACAGTATGTCGACTAACGAGTTATAAATGTACATGATTTCGACTAAAACTTGACGGCAGTGACAGAATATATGACTAGTTTACGTGAAAGCAACTACGAAATGTTATCACGCATCATAAATATAGTACGAAATAAGCTAATGAAATTATGAAACTCGCCTGGGTTACTCTTGCCTTTAAGTAATGAAGTAGGCAGTAGTTTGAATCTGGATTATGTACGAGGTACTGTTGATTAGATTTTTCGATTAACACAGCGTTGTAGACTGACGAACAGTCTAAACGAGATCTAAGATCGCAGGAAATTTATAGTTCAAACTCACCGTGAATTTCTAGCATTCGTATCCTCTGTTTGGCCATGGAACTCAGCAATTGGAAATTAGGCAGGCAGTGGTAAAAAAAAGCAGAACATTCTAGTGGATAGTGGTTAAGCAGAAAGATGAGTTTATAGTCGATAGTTAATCTTGTCTTACTTATACCAGTGGATAAGGTACAAAGAGATATGCGTTCGTGTTGCCTTGTGGCTATACTCACGAGTGGTTGATATTTTAACAGACATATTACACAGGAGCATTTACATGCTGCTAATGCTTGTTAAAGAACCACGATAGCCGATTATAATCGTAGTTGATTGGTTAGTTCTGTCGATTGAACGGATTATTTAGGTTTAAATGCTAATCAACATTGACATGAAGCAACGAAAGTTCACAGTAACAGATTAACATAGGCGATGATAAAAATGAAAAAGAATAAGTATAGAATACAACAATAAAGATTATAGTGATAGGTTGCGTTATTCGAAGTCTTGCTCACCAGTGTAGATCACTAACGTAGATGATCTATGTCGAAATGATTGGAGGCCTACTCGAGTTAGACGTGAATGGTGTGACGAACCAACTAACGTCGAAGTCACACCTCGTGGTCAGCACTTTACGTGGACTACCCCCATTGACGTAACAAGGTACTATAGATGCTTTGAAGACTGTACAACACAAAGGACGTTATTACAGAAATATATTAGTTAAAGTAGATACAAGCGAAAGTAAGACCACTGCCGCATGGGCCAGTCCATGGCATACGATTAACTAATGCGCGTTGCTTGTACATGACCTTGGCAGGGAGCGATGATCTGTTCGACATTCAGTGATCCAACTGCCGGATGATTTGGCTAGGGCTCAGTGACATTTCACTGGCCCTACAAACCTAGTCAATAACCTGCATTCTTAATATATCTCTAACTTGAAAATTTGTACAGTTTTTCGGGTTTTTTTAAAAACCTTATTTATTTTTTTGTATTTGTTACTGTGTTTTTTTGTTGTTGCGTGAGTAACTTGTTGAAGTAGCCTGTGCTGAGAATTATATATTGTACCAAAATATAATATTGAATTAAGCCATTAATAATAATAATAATAATAATAATAATAATAACAGTGCTACACACCGTGTAAAGACTAAGGCCAACCCGTATTTCCGAGACTGGTTTGTGAAAAGGCAAGTTTGGCCAAAAATGAATTTGCACATGTGACAGACTTGGGAATATTCTGGACATCAAAAAGCCCATGAGCATCTACATTTCACATGCTCCCTAGAAAAGACAACAATGACTGACATCTGACAGGAAACTATCGATAATTCAGTGGGGAGAGCACTCCCGCTTGTTGTCTGTTGCCGTATCTACGATCTGAGGGAAACTTTGAAAAGTACAAACGTCCTTCGAAAACCGACTTGGTTGAAGTGTATGATCGAATTCCTGTGGCTGCTGACGACATTCATATAACAAAATTCATCACTCCCTGAAGATCCTATGAATATTTGCATATCAGTTTCTGTTTGAAAAGTACTGCACAAACTTGTAGTGAATGGCCTTATGTCAAGCGCCCATAGGCTATTCTAGCTTCTGAACACCTATTTATCCATTCTTCTCAAGCTACATTTTGACTTTGTTACCACTTCACTCACTAATCCTGACTATTTTTATATGATCATATATGCGTATATTGTTTAATCTATTCATAACATGTCTGTAACTTATTTTCGTTTGACTAAAAATATCTGTTCTTTCTTAATTAAGTAGAGTCGGCTGACTTACCTTCTGCACCGAATTATATTTTCTTCACTTCCCCCTCTCCTCTTCTCTTTCTCCGTTTCAGTTCTTTGATAGTTCATCTGGATCAACGACTGTATGATATATAGGTATTCGGAATCCGTTTTCGTATTTGCCCTGGTTTTATTCCGTTATTCACTGACGTGATTAAGGTCGAATATTATCTTCGAGGGTAGCCGTCTTGTGTGTTTGTATAGAAGTCATCATACGATATACCTAGAGTCAGATAATGAGCCACCAATGACTTTCTAGAAATTCATCGTTTACACTTATGTTTGTGGATGCTTGGTCCTGAATCCTGACAGAGAATCTTATCTCCAGCATCCGGCCCTTTTTCCCAACGACCTCATAAATCGAATTACTATCAGTGTTCAGGAATGTCGAGGCGCAACCGACTCCCTAGACTTTCTCGAATATACTACTAGTTTCCAGGGCATCCGCCTTATGAAATGCAAAGTAGCGGACATTTCGGAATACCCGAAACCGACTTTTGTCAAGTAATTACGCATTTATAACGAACTAGCAAGTTTTTACTAACGCTTCATACCGAGTTGCACGCCTAACATGATATTCTTAAACGACCAACCTCGTGGAAATGCAGAATTCATCTGTTTGGACGATAACGCGATAAAAGCACTCTTCACAGATAATAAACCTATAGCAAAGGCGGTTATGCCAACACACATGAGTATACTGAAGCATCCATTAATATCGCAGTAGACGTACCCGACTCTGAAATCAGAGTCTTACAACGATGGGTAAACGACACCTGACAACCTCCGACATTCTTCTCGAGACGGTTGAAGGACATTTATTCGAGGTACAACACTTTCGGTAAGGAACTCTAAGACACGTATTGGGCTGTACGGTACTCTGAATACTCTGTAGAAGGCCGAGAATTCACTCTGTTTGCCCACCACGAACCTCTTAGCTTCTCCCCAAGCTCATTTTCAGATAATTAAACCCCTCGAGAGCCTCGACAAATCGACCAAATTCCTCAGTTTACTTCAGATATACAATGCATTTATTGAACAAACAGTTTGGTTGCGGACGCTTTGCCTCGTATAAATTCCTCGAAGGGTTTCCAGAGTTGAGAGACTCCTGAGTCCGCAAAGATCTTCGACATGAGTTGTCAACGGCGACCCCTAGATTGAGAATCAAACTGGTGGGAATAGGTAAGAAAACTGTAATGCATCTACAGGTGGCGATCGTTTATTCATGCCGAAACATTTTCGACGCAGTGTTTTCAATACAATGTGTAAACTTCCTGGTCGAGTTAATTGTCCTACCATCAATCTCATAAGACAACAATTTTGCTGGTCTGATATGAATAAACATGAATTACATGACTAAAAACTATCACCTACCACACACAGGCCAACGGGTTCGTAGACAGCTTTCATCGACTTTTGAAAGCTTTACACTCGGATGCAAATCTATCAAAATGCACTGACATACATCCACTCGTGTTACTCCGAATTCATAATCCAACAGTAGTTGACGTTGTATGTAGTGCAGCTAGACTCGTTTATGGCACGAAATTTGTGGAATTCGTAGATACCTCAATTTTTTTTCATGAACATAGATCTATTCTCCTGCATACAAACGCGATTCATACAAGTAAACCACTTCTACTCGAATGTCGTTAACTGTTGTTTTCGTTCAACCCGCCTTACTATTTTGTGCGCACGAAGTATCCTGACAGTTCTTTAGAGTACAAACCTATGTACTATATCAGTGATAGGATCGGAACTTAAGATGAAATCAGCACCAATCGGCTAGAGTCTAGTTACTTGGAGGGAAAGTTCTTTGACGGTGGTACCACCAAAACTTTCGAGAGATACAAAAATACTACGACTACAGTGCAGTCCCTGGGAGTTAATGACTTCGCCGAAACATCAACGGTATCTGACAGCCAGCCTACAACGTTTCACATCGGAAGGTCTGAGAGGTTCTCAGAGCACTTGGATGACAATCAAATGTTATACATGTTAGACATTATTATATACTCTCCCGTGTTATGCCGCCACTTGGTTGCATTGCCAATTCTTATTGCGTGAAACAATAAAAAAATAACTCATTTAAATGTGATTCTCAAAAGATTTTGTCGAAAAGTCAAATCAAAATATTTTCAATATGCTCATATATATGTGTTTATATTATTCTTTATAAAATATCCGAAAGAGGCCTTTTGTGTCAGTTTTCTCACTGCCTCATGATATACATAAGCGTATAAATCTATTTTCTTCGTTACAGTAGACTGAGAAAATGATCTGACTGAATGTGTATTTTTGACAGATAAACATACAGATGCTGATAATTGTGGTCATTGGTTATCTTGGTAACAATTTCAAAAACATGCACTTTAATGCGGTTAAATAATAAAATTGATATAGTTTCATCAAAGGATAGCATAATATCTGATGTGTCTTAGACCAATATTTTTGCACTGTGTTTAGTTAAATGGTATTTCGATAAGTCTTCACATCAGGAAAAGCGCGGTCTGGTCTTCTGTCACGCTCAGTTGTTTGTTATGAGGTCCGTTATCTACATGTTATTTCCTTTGTAAAACATTGGCTTTTAGCTGGTGTACTAATAAATTTTTCCAACTTAGTTAAGGATTTTCGGATCACAGCAGTCGTTTAAATTCCCAAGTAGGATGTAAGAAAAATTTGGATTACTAGAACCATTTAGGAAGTGCATTATCAACAAAAATACACATTATCAGCTCCTGAGACCTAATTTGAATTAATGACCTAAGTATGGCATACCTTGCAATCTCATTTTGGGTTTTCTCAGCATGAATTATCTGTACTCCAAGATTAAATGAGAGCGAGACGATCCATCACTATTGTGAGCTGAAAACCGATTCAAACGTCTACTGCTATCTTAAGTCACATATCTTTTGCTTTTGTTATATCATATCAACAGAGTCTGCTTCATTAAATCACATATTCTTAATGTGATGAGGTTTCTGTTGATTACTTCCTTGTGTAATGATAGTGTATGACGTAAACACGGGTTTCACTATCAATTGTATGTTTGGAGTGACGCAAACCCAACAATCATATAAAACCGAATAAACTAAAACTGAGTTTTGAAGCTGTAAAAGGTGTGAAGGATTCGTAACGAATATGTATTTCCCTATAATTTATCTATTTAGCGTTTCTAGGTATGACGTCCATGTACTGACGATAAATAATCCCAACATTTTCGAAACTACGTTTCGCACTAAATAAAGTCGGCCCTTACTATTCTCGCTCCAAGTACTACGGTTTGCGCAGCCAGGTAGCATAGTTATTACTGATTGTATGTCATGTGAAAGTTTACACATTTATTCCATATTTCAACCACTTAACTGAGTTTCCCAATTCGACATACATCAGTTTTGGTGACCAGGAAATACACGCTTCTCTGCTTTTTAACAAGTTCATACATTCCTTTAGATAAGTTTCTTTAACTTGTTTTCTTATTCTCGATATATTCCCATCATTCTTTGTAAGCCAGTTTCCTGACTAGACATTTACCGTGAATTCTAATTCATGTGTGTAATTGCCCTCAATCGTTTGGTAATTATTTGTTTTTGAGGCTTTTAAATTGAAACTAGAAAACATTTTAGAATACTCGCCTTTTAAATCTTCAGTAGGTTGATGGATCGACTTAAGCATATTTCCATTTGCTAGACATATATTCTTGTACTTGGCTTCAACTAGTTTGAGTGCTCGTGATACTACCAGTCTACTCAGATAAAGTAGGTTGAGCAGGTTTCAAACCTTGATCTTGTTGAGGGAAGTCTGGAGGCCTTGAAAACTTCCACTAAATATGCACTCACAAGACGTCCACTGAACTTTATTGTAATAACACTCAGAATACCTAAACTGTGATGTACTAATTGATCATTATCTTTGCCATTGATGAGTTCATTTGTTTCAGTGAATAGAGTTATTTGTATTCAGAACAACGTAAGTAAGAGACGTACAAGCATTTGACGCATAATCTAGAAGGAATTACATGTTAAAGATTGTCAGTCGCTGGGAGTTTAACGAAATATACAATTTTTCGGGTTATTATTATATTTATTTTATTTTAAAACATAGATATTGGTACAAGGAGGCACCAAATACATATGCACCACACAAATCTCATTCGATGTGTGTGAGGGCTGTGATACTGCCCGGGTGCCCAAACCGAAGCAGGTGGTTTTCTTAGGGGGCCACTCCCCGAGCCTTCGACCTGAAGGTCTAATCCACAAGGCAGTGGAGCATCGTGAAGAAATCCAGTCCCATAGAAGCCGGTGACCAAGAAATTGGTTCGTACGCCATTTGTTCCCACAGGATACTGGAGCCCATGTGCACCATTGATTTGGTTTGGGATCCGGCTAAAGCGCCGGACATTCGCTTTTCGTCCTCTCATTTTCGTAAACAACACCCCCGCCACGAGAAGACAGGTGATACGGTAGTTTATATTGTGTTAAGTGAAAAAACGATTATCAACATTTACTTTCTCAGTTTTTTCTGTATTTATATTTCACTAATATATTAATTTCGGCAAATGTTCCAGTAATTTTGTAGAAGATTCTGAAATCGAGACTAATTATACTGAAATAGTCGATGGCTTCGAGAAGTTGGAGTTAAAACCAGAACTTCTTCGTGGTATATATGGTTATGGTTATGAAAAGCCATCGGCCATTCAACAGCGAGCTATTAAGCCATCTATCGAGGGTCGTGATGTTATCGCTCAAGCTCAGTCCGGTACAGGGAAAACGGCAACATTTGCCATCAGCATTTTACAAAGGATAGATATTACATCAAACACTTGTCAAGCCCTCGTCCTCGTACCAACCAGGGAACTTGCAAGACAAATCCAAACGGTAATTAATGTATCAATAATAAAAATTTTCAGGTTATGCAACGCATTGGTTCCTATCTAACCGTCAAATGCCATACATGTATCGGGGGGACAAGGACCTCTCATGATATGGCGTGCCTCCAACAGGGTCAGCATGTTGTTGTGGGTACTCCTGGTCGTGTTTTTGATATGATGAATCGTAATACTCTGGCAACCGCTAATATCAAGGTTTTCGTGTTGGATGAAGCTGATCAAATGCTTGATCGTGGTTTTGAACCCCAAATTAAAGAAATATATAGATTTTTACCTGACACTTCTCAAGTAATTACACTTCTGTATGATTTCATTTAACACTAGATCATGTTACTGTCTGCGACTATGCCGAAACCAATGCTTTCTATTGCACGGAGTATAATGCATGATCCTGTTCAAATACTGATTAAGAAAGAAGAATTAACATTGGATGGGATCAAACAGTTTTATATCAATGTGTGCAGAGAAGAATACAAATTAGAGACCTTAATGGACTTATATGGAATAATGAATTTAAGTCAAGTCGTTATTTTCGTTAACTCTGTAAACAAGTCCACACATATTTGTAATGAGCTTAGGCTCAAAAAGTTCCAAGTTTCGTGCATTGTAATTTGCTATATTGAACCTACTAAATGTTCTATTCTTTAGCATAGTGATATGGATCAAGAAAAACGTGATGCAGTTATGGAGGAATTCCGTAGTGGAAGATCACGAATTTTGCTATCCACTGATATTCTGGCGCGTGGTATTGATGTACAGCAAGTCTCTCTAGTCGTTAACTATGACTTACCTAGTAATCGTGAGACATATATTCACAGGTCTGTTCCTATTATATGATATAATTTTCACTTATACAGAATCGGGAGAGGAGGTCGTTTTGGAAGAAAAGGTACAGCCATCAACTTCATCACTGATTCAGAAATAGAAGCTCTGAGTGACTTGCAGCAATATTTCAACACAGAAATTCTTGAGATGCCTGATGACATTGTTGATTTTCTGTAACCTAAATTTGAGCCCACTTATACATTTAATATTTGTTCCTAGCTGAGTAACTTTCAGTCTTTATTGTTGGTTATCTGGTCACTAATTTTCGAGTTTTATTTTTCCATCTAACACCGCCCTTGTCATCACATCTTTGGGTGTTACTACTTCTGATTCTTCAATTTGTTCACTGCGGTGCTTAATTGGGAAATAAATTAGAATTCGCGCATTTTGAACTTCAGTCGTTTGATTTCATGTTATGTTGAAAGGTTCGTCTTCAGTTCTCAGTTAAAGGTAATAATAGTATTGAATATTGATGACTAAAATAAAAAACCTGGCTCTAACTTTTTTGCACCGGGCTTCTATTCCAGAGGTTACAGGTTCGTGTCCTGTTCAGGACGGACACCATTAACCTCCAAATGCCATGGTAAGGTCGAGGGCGGGGACAGTCTGTTCAGACCGTGTATTCTAATTAAGGAACTGGGTTGGATAATGACTAATGGAACATCCATTTACCATATATTGCCATTCAGAATACCGTCCTAGGTATTGCTGGTCGTTTACAACTAGGGATTGTAAAGTTATCCTTAGAAACTAGTGCTATACATTTGAATAAAGTGCTCAGTTATATTTTCAAGCCGATGGGTTTTCCATGAAATGTTCGTGAGTGATACATAGTAATGATGAACTTCTGCTTGGTAGAGGTTGAGGTCTAGTTAGATACACAATTGTATGTTATTATTGCATCGATTTATGTGTAATGACGGTTTATAAAATAGTGTTAGTGTACAAGTCATTAGAACCGTTAAAGCATTGTCGTCAAACGTTTTCTTCGGTTGGGATGAGTTTATTGTTTTCAGGCAATTTTCGTAGATTTTCCTAGTCACTGTATAGTAGTAGAAAAATCCGGTTGATTGCTACTATGGTAAAAGATATATTGATGACACTAACTTATTAGCAAATTACTTTTTAAGACGGGTTTAGTGCGTAGTACTTTCATTTGTTAGGTGGAAGGTCCGAGGCAGGGTTCACTTCTATGCGACCAGACTCGGTATCGTTAGCCCTCTTAAGTATGGTATCCAAACGAAGAAAAAATGAATGGCAACTGCTAGTAATTCTTATGAACTGTTATTACGTATGTTCTTATTGGGTAATTATTAAGAAACGAGTATGTGTGCACGTTCGCATTCCTTTATTCACGATTTTTCATTTCACCTGATGTTTGCTGTTACGCGATATACTATTCTTAATTTATACCCAATCTTTTAGTTACAGCCTCCTTCACTGACACCCACATTTGGCTTGATCTTGTATAATAATTATTTTTCATTTTGTGATGTGGTCTAGCCTACTTGTGCAATCTTTCTCTTATATATTACCACCTCTGAATTAACTACTTTTATGAATCCGGTGTCCATCTTGTTGTGTCAATGAGGTATGGCAACTTGGACCGGTGCATATATATGCCTGGTCCTACGTTGTAGCTGACTGACTTGTATATAAAACACGTATGTCTGAAATATAGGGTCCATGTAGCGGAGGCTGGTATTTGTGTTACGGACTGGAAGGGCCATACTAGGGAATAAGCTACCATTATAAGACCAATAAGTATTCAAAGTTGACTCAAGGCTGCTAGTGCTAGTTGACGTGTCATCAGTTTAGCACAAACTCAGGGTCATAAAATCCGGTATTCTGGTTATTGGTCCTGTCACGTGATATTTGAAGGACCAGAGGACAACAATAGACTATGGATGTACATGAATCTTTTCTCGTTAAAATGCTCTTTAGATAAAAGTTATATACTAGTTGTAGGTGTATAAGGAACGAGTCGATCAGATCACAACGATGTGGACTATAAAGCGCTTTCGTGGATCTATGTTACAGAATTCTGAATGCGTGAAGACTATTAGCTGTCTCAAACGCTACCAGTGGGGCTAGAGCTCATGGCGAACTATCGTCTGATTTTGCAACCTCGTGGTGTCCGGTGATGTCGTGCACTATCTCCATTTTTGTTCATTTTAACCATAGACTAACTGGTGGAAATAACGCTCTTTTCGACTGAGTTATCGGGCATTGATCTCCTACCAGGAGGTCCACTTACCAACTTAGCATACGCAGATGTTATAGTCCTGTTTGTTGAAGACGCTTATTTATTTATTTGAACACATGAATATTGGTACAAGAGAGCGCCAATATATATGCGCCACACAAAACAATGAGAATTCGAAGAGAGATAGAAAACAAAAGCTGAGCGCTAAAAAAGAGAACAATAACGAAGAGATTGGTGTAACGTAGTGTGGTAGTAATGAGGGAACGGAAAGGTACAGTCGGAAGAAATCTTTCAAGTAAGGGAGACACAACCACTTTTTATGAAGTAAAAGAAGGTTACAGCAGTATCGCCACTGGCTTCTATTCTGAGCCATATCTGATAACCTCTCTAGCCACTGTGTAGTACCATCTCTCAGATCCCAACCAGGGAGTCGTGAAGGACCAACAGAAGCCAGTCCTTTGCAGCTTTTTTTCATGCCACAACACCATGTCATGCACTGACCACTTCTCCGCTTCTTCCAACCAGTCCCAGAGTCGGCAAATAATGCACGACGTGGAATTCTCTGGGACGACATTCGGAGAACATGTCTAAGCCACCGAAGTCGGTGTTTCAAGATGGTGACACCAATTGGATTATCCTCTCTGTGCCCGAACACACGATGCCGAACTTCTGCATTACTAACATGGTGTTGCTACTGGATGTCAGCAATCCTTCGGAAACTGCGATGATCGAACACAAAGAGTCGTCTAACGTCCTCAATTCGGAGAGGCCAGGTTTCAAAAGCATAGAGCAAAACTGCTCTCACCGACGCGTTGTAGATCCGACCTTTTACAGCCAGACTAAAATCATGAAGGCGCCAAAGATGGCCGAGATTGGCATAAGCCGCTCTGGCTTTCACTATACGTGCATTGATCTCATCACTCACAACCCCACCAGCACTTATGCAGCTACCCGGATACACGAAATTCTCAACTACTTCTATCTGCTCACCATCCAGGGTGAGCACAGAATTAGAATCCTGCCAGTCTTGTAGAAGTACTTTGCACTTCGAATGTGCAAAGCATTTACCATACCTACGGACACTGATTGCCAACTGATTAAGTGCGGATTGCATGGCTTGGGCATTATCGCACAGTAAGACAATATCGTCCGCATACTCAAGGTCGAGAAATCTTTCTCCAGGCAACAGATCCACACCGCCATTACTTACATCCATCAGATCTGTTTCCAGATTGTCATCGATGGCAAAGTTGAAGAGGAATGGTGAGATTGGGCAACCCTGCCTAACCCCACTGCTCGAATGGAACAATGGAGAGAGGTGGTTGTATGCCATCACTCTGCCTGAGGTGTTTGTATATAGGGCTTTTAGGATGTTAATAAACTTCTCAGGCACACTCTTCTTCAATAGATAATCCCAGAGAACAGTCCTATTCAACGCATCGAAGGTAGCAATGATGTCAAGAGACACTACGATTGTTGGCGTTTGATAAGTGTGGCGGGGTTCTAACATTTGGCGGAGGGTGAAGATATGATCAATACATCCTCGACCAGAACGAAACCCATCCTGCTCCTCGCGAGTCAGTGTTTCTCGGGTTTTGAACAACCTGCGAAGTATGACGGAAGCCAATAGCTTGGTCGCAATCGGAAGTAGACTTATCCCCTGATAGTTGTTACAGGAACGACTTGAACCCTTTTTAAAGATAGGGACAACTATCGACTCATTCCATGACTTTGGTACACTCTCTAGTTCCCAAACCTTTGTAAACAACGTCGTCTGTTCCTTAGTCAAAAAGTCACCATCATCTTTTAAATGAGCCGGAGGTAAGTCATCTGGGCCAGGTGATTTGTAACGCTTCAAGAGTTGGAGTTCCTTGCGGACTTCCTCCTCGTTTAGTGGATCAGTCGTCACCGGCCATGGAGGGCAGGACAGTCTGACCGATGTTGCCGGAGCAGCAGGCCAGTTGAACAGCCCTTAGAAAAATTCTGCCCATCGTCCAAGACGTCGATGGATGTTAGTGATTGGCATCCCATCATCCTCGCAGATTGTTTCGCTCACACCAGACTTCTTGCTGACAGTGGCTCGGATGAGTTGGAAGAGCTTCCGGTAACTACCAGATGCAGCTGTTGCTTCCAGCTCATTAGCACGCTTCGACCACCAGGCTTCTCGGTCCTTACGCAAGCTTTGCCCAATTTCCTTACGTAACATCCTTCGTTTATGGTCAAACTCACGGTCCCCCGGAGTAGACCGACGGGCTTCAATGAGTTGTAAGGAACCAGAAGAAACCCAATGCTTATAAGCGAGATGTTTCGCGAACCCACAACTGACTGTACCCGCCATTTTCATGGCGTCATGCAATTGCAACCAATGCTCATCCATACTTTTCGGTGGAGTGGTAGCTAGCCTAGAGGTTAGCTCGGTTCGATACTTACTTGCAACAGAATTTGCAACCAGCTTGCTAATAAATAAAAATAATATATTTGTAATATCCCAATGAGTGGAAAATTGGATTTTCTGGCGTTTCGTGACTTAGTGTAAGTCACTTCTTCAGAGAATAAATAACCAAATTAAAATTAATCCAAGTTTAAATAGTACAACGGAACGATGCAATAATAATATTGGATCAATCAAAAAAACAGGTCTGAACAAGTTGATGTCTTGCTAATATCAATCCGTTGATGGCGGTCACTTCGTTGTCCACTAAAAAGTAAGGCAAGATTTGCGCAGACCAAGGCGTGGTCAGAGTCCAGATAGGTACTCCAAAAGGAGCGGCAGTCTTGTACACAACCACGCCAGCGGTAGCTGATCGCGATGTGATCAATCTGAGTCCAGGCTTGGGATGCAGAGGGAGGACGCCAGGTGGCACATCGGCGATGACTGTGTCGAAAGTTAGTGCTAGCCAGAAACAGGTTGTGGTCTGTGCATAGTTGCAGTAGACGGTCCCCGTTATCTGACCTGCGACCAGCGAGTCCCCATCGGCCACCTAAACGACTCTCTTCTGTGCCTAGACGCCCGACCTGAGCATTCAAGTCTCCGGCTATTACTACAATATCTGTCGAACGCACTTTCTGGAGAAGAACAGATAACTGGTGGTAAAACTCATCCTTGATTGCATCCGGGCTGCAATCTGTCGGGGCATAGGCGGAGATGACGAAAAGACATCGTTTCTCACTCCGATTTCTTCCCACTTTGATGGAACTTTCTAATCTAACAGCACATAACCGACTGTTAATGGGGATCCAATCAACTAGTGCTGCCTCAGCTCTAGCGCTTAGTGCGATACTAACGCCAGCAAGACCAGACGAAGATGCCACAGGGTCCCCGGAAAAGCGCACGTAAAACAAGCTTTTTGAAGCGATAGATGGAGAGCGAATTTGTTGTACTTCACCAGAGTACTGAATACGGGTCTCGGATAGACAGCAGACATCGATATGAAGACTTTCCAAAGACATGGCCAGCCCTATCTGTTGACCAACCTGCATAAGTGTGCGAACGTTGAAGGCAGCCAGTTTGAATGGTGCACGTGGTTTCAGAAAAACTGCTTCAGTACTCATATTCGGTGGTAACATACAATTTTCCGCCGGACAGTGACTCGAGAACGTTTAGATACAGTCGAATTTTCACCAAAGACGAGCCGCTGTATAAGTATAAACGAGGGTGAATAATGTGGAAAATAATAATAATAATAATAATAATAATAATAATAATAATAATGACAATAATAGTGATAATAATAATAGTATTAATGACAATAATAGTAATGATAATAATTCGAATCAATTGATTGTTTTTCGAAGCGAGAAAAGTGGTTTTCATAGACATAGAGAGCTCATCATTTGTGTGTGGGCTGTGATACTGCCCGGGTGCCCAAACCGAAGCAGGTGGTTATCTTAGGGGGCCACTTCCCAAGCCTTTGACCTAAAGGTCTAACCCACAAGGCAGTGGAGCATCGTAAGGAGATGCAATCCCATGGTAGCCGGTGACCAACGATTGGTTCATACGCCATTTGTTCCCACAGGATACTGGAGCTCATGTGCACCATTGGTTTGTGATCCGGTTAAAGCGCCGGACATTCGCTTTTTGTCCTCTCATTTTCGTAGACAACACCCCCGCCGCGAGAAGGCGATGAGTAGTACTTCCCTGGCAGAGGCTGTATACGCGCTGCCGTGTGAGAGTATTTCGAGAGGGAGAGCGGACTCTCCTCACTCTCGGCCGTACCGGGGCATTCGGGGGCGTCGAAGACGCTGATAAAATTCATTCTTTTTGTAGCACTGAGCAACAATGCCAGGATGTTTGGGATACGCTTTTCCTCCTTTAAATGCAAGTTGTTTCTTCAGGACTGGCCTGCGTAAACACATGAACTAAAGACAGGCAGTGAAGTAGTCGGAAGCATCCACAACTTCACTTATCTTGGAAGCCTGACCAATCCTAATGGATTAGTGTCTGACAAAATCTGTACGCGGATTCAAAAAGCTCGTTTGGCTTTTTTAAACTTACGTCACCTATAGCGAAGGCGAGATATTCGTCTATCAATTAAGGGACGAGTATACTGTGCGGCAGTCCATTCTTTTCTACTTTACGGTTGCGAAAAGTGGCCATTAATAGTAGAAGACACTCGTAAGCTACTAGTATTTTACCATAGATGCCTTAGAAATATTGCTCGCATCTTCTGGGATCACTGGGTAAGTAATAGTTAGGTTAGACCTAGGGTATTAGGAAATGATGGTAAATCAGTTGATGAGGTTATCAATCTACATCGACTGAGATGGTCGGGCCACGTGTTGCGTATGCCTGAACACCGATTACCACGATGCGCAATGCTGACTAGTTTTGGGGATGGTTGGAAGAAAGTTAGGAGTGGCCAAACCAAAACTTGGCATCGTTGCTTAAAGTCACTAACTTCTAGTCTTAGTCATGTTGTTAGATGTGGAATACTTGGCTGGGGTCCGCACGACTATCATAACCAATGGTTGAATACTCTGACGGCTCGGAATCGATCACAATGGCGTAGTTGTTTATAGTCTTTGTCTTCACTGAGAATAAATACTTTATACTTTTCTTTCTATGAACTGATTCTTTCTTCCTGCATCATATCCGTGTACGAAATGTTTTGAAGTAACCGCTTCTATGAATTTGGTGTTGGTCATCTTGTCATGCTGTTGAGTTATGGCAACTTGGACCGATACGAATGTGTGCCTTGTCCCGCGTTTTAGCTGACTAATAGCTGTTGACATTGTCAAAACAAAATCAGCTATTGTTATTCAACCGTTAATGCCAACGATGTTTAAATCCTCTATAAAAATAAAATAAAATCCTTTGAAGCCTTATCTGTATCCGTTGTTAGTCACTGACTGTTAGGTTCCTTGTAGACCGTTTAAATTTTTTAGGAGGTTTCACTTGAATCATTGGAAGTTTCGGTATCCAATGCAGTTTCACAGTCACTATTTCCGTCCCCAGCAAGCGTTGGTTCTCTTTTGTTAAGCACCAAACTACCTAAATGTTCGTTTTTTAATGTAATAGGGCTCACTAAAGCAAGAATAGCGATTACTCATCAATAAACAGCATAGGATCTAGCAAATTCGCATAAGCCCAAGCCAACATATCACACTTTGAACACGTTAATTTAGAGTAGCTTTGTATCTCAATCAGCAAGTTTCAAGTGGGTTTTTTCCAAGAAGTTGAACTAAAAACGCAACATCCATCATAAACTTTGCATGATGCAACTCATCACGGTGACCGTGCTGCATCAGTTTTGTGCAAAAATAAATTTTAAATCAAGTCCACGGAAAGTTAGTAGTATCAAATCACTTTGCCAATCCAAACATCTGTTTTGAAGGACTATCCACTGTGGTACTTTCGGTACCGGTAATCCAAAAACGTATTATCTACAATAATGTTGAGAGAGATCCTGTGTTTGTTGTAATGGACACTTAAGATAGTATTATTGCGTTGGGGCCAAGTACAATTCCTATAGTATACACTAGTGACCTGGAGATGTTTGCCAATGTACGTACTGTACTACTTAAAAGATATGGTTTTTCCTGCCCCTCTGCCATGCCGTTGTAAAGCTTAACCGGTAGACAATACTCAAATGGATTGATGTATCTGATGTAACCCCATGTTATGGCAAGGTCGGTTGATTGCTTTTTCAACCTTTTCCAATCCATCGATCGTACCATATTTGGAAGTAGTATCTCCGTTCTTCAATCACTTAAGTTTCGAAATGTCGTCCGCTGATCTACTCCATTCTAAACTTCACTTGCGTTTACAATAATACTACACATGGTTCGCTTAACTGTGGAAACGCTCCCAAGGTAAATATGGTCGAGTAATTGTAGATTCAATATGGTGCCCGTCTGTATTTGCTGTAGTACGTTGGTGACAATAAAATGCTTTAGTTGTTGGTGTGTGTGGTTAGTTTAATATTTGGCAAGCGAGGAATATGCTAGACGATTTCAGACGTTCGCTTTCCCAGAAATCTGGTGCAAAATCAGACTCAGTTCCTTTTCAAACCAATGATAATGATTTGTAGTGATAACTTGGGTCATGACACACTATTCCACACCATTCACAAGGTGAATTCACGCAAAAATGTAGATTATATTTAAAAATACAAGTAATTCACATACTCTGTAAAAACAATAGCATGTTAGTTGCGAACAAATGACAATCAATACACTACATCAACTATTCTTATTCATCCAATTAGTTATCATGCATCATAGGCTACAGTCAGGCAAAATGTTCCGATTTATTTTGGTTCCTTATACTGTTCTGTGTTTATCCATTGTAATTTCAATTGTTTACTTGTGAGATCTAATTTGCAATTAATTTTCATTGTTTGGAAGTGTAGATGGATTTTATTAAATCGATAAATTTTCAATGTTATAATATCATTTAATTTTATTGACATTGGTTGAAAAGGTGGTGCATGCACATGTTTTTCTCCAGACCATTTCCATATCCTTGTGTATCTATCCAAAAGTTGCTTGAAATAGACACCTTCATTATGATTATACTGTAATCTAAAAGAAACAAATTCCCTTGTGTTAGTTACTGTCATGGTTTAACACTTCATGTATAAGTTATCATGGTCTATATACTTGAAAATAAAAATAGTTGACTAGTGGCTAAAACACTCACATATCATCTAAGCAGGTTCAGTTTGGCCAGCTGGGTAGTATCACTAATAAATAAAAGCTGATTTCATGATACTGTATTTGGTAAATGCGTTCAAACAAACTGGCTAATAATTTCTAATCTCTGCGTTGCTTCAAACGGTAATAAACAAAGTCAATGTGTCAAACTTTCAGCTTTTTTCAAAAACACAAATGAGGTCCGATTTTAGTTTGAATGTACTGAATTTACATGTTAATTAAGCTGTTTGTCAATTTTATATAGTTTGAATTGTGTACTTATCCTTTGATAAAGATCTCATTTATATGTTATATTAAATAAACAACTAATAACGTCAAATATATTAAATGGATAACTGTTTTCTGATTTGGATGCGTGAGTTAAGATTATGTCTCAAATAAAATTCTTTCTGCTATCCATTCACTTGTTACTACTTGCTATCAAAATTTTTAATGGTTTTCGCTAATAGGGAAACTGTCGAACAATAAGGTTATAAAAACTCACTGGTTGTTTCAAGAACTTTATTGTTCATTAACTGACTAATAACTCAATTGAACTATGTGGAGATATATATTGTCTTAATAGTTCGATATTCAAAATCTTCATTGGTTATTCATTGCGTTTTAGGGATCAGTCTCATGAAGTAGTATTCTTCGTTAATAGATTCAGAAATACTTTTTCATTTGGTGACAATCTTAGTTACAGAGAAATATCGATTGTGGTTGGTTTCTGTCCCATATGTAGTGTTTTTTTAATTGATCTGCCTATTTGTACTACCCGGTGTATGGTTCGATTAGCTATTGTTTTGCTGAAATTGGTTTCCCTAATGGTTCAGTTCGTTACATGTATTCAAAATGTCCTACTTAATTTGTGAGAATTTTCTGTTGTCACATAATGATATATCATTATCAGACCAATGTTGATCAAAATACACCCCATGGGGATATTTCGGCCTAACACTGCATTCCATCTTAGGTTGTCAAACCATTTAGATATCTGCATAACAGCGGTCGAAAGTTTAAAATTACTTTAGGGGAATATGACACTATATGATATTGAAAAGCGAATTCAATCTACTGTTACTACAACCGGAAAAACGTAACCATGTTCATTTCTCGACATCAAATACAAATAGTTTCGCCAATATCTGCATAGGAATAAAATTGCTATGTTTAAGCACCAAAGAATGAATTTTCAAAGCGTTTGAGTCATTTATAAGAATATTGGCTAAAATTTAGACGAAAAGTTCGAAATTTGAAGTTGTATTTGAATAATTTCAGCAACTGGAATTTAAATGAAATATCCAAAAAAAACTACAAAAGGAGCAACCGTAATAAGATAAGTTAATGTCTATGAGGTAATTATTGACAGTAACTAAACTTTATCATATTAATTTGAATTAAACAATACCGTATATTGTTTTCCTTGTCATAAACTACCCCATGAATATTGCTATCGAACACACCGATTAATTGGCCAACAGTTGATTGTACATCGACATTGATCAATTTATTCATTTTACTGGTATTATTATTTAACACTTTAAAAGAATTAGACTTTTGTTTATGATTTATTTTTTTATCTTCTTTTCGAACTTTTGTCATATTCAGATGTAGTAGATCATGTACAATGAATAGTAGACCAACTGGCTCATTATTATTAGTGCTCATTTCGCTAGGTAGAAACAAGATTGCTGGATTACCAGTTGGATAACTGAATGTTGTGAATATTTGTTAAGGAGTTTTGTATTATTTTATACCACAGAACAAAAAAATTGAGATTTTATAAGGTTGTTCGACCTAAGGTACGATTGATTATGAAATAATATTCATAATTAGTTTCATAAACAGTAACTTCTTGGAAAATGACTTACTAGGTGAGAGCTTTATTATGTTAACAGACTTCTATAAGATGTATTGAGCAGAATATTTAATAAAGATTATATAAATTTACAGCTTTCATTCTATCACTTTACTTGAAATTAGATGTTACCAATAAAAGATATTGATAAGCAAAAATGACAGTGAAAGAGTGATATTGAATTTCGTCTGGGTAGAATGTAGACGTTGCCTTGTTATTATTTATAAGGGGTCAAACAAAATCGAGACCTGTGCACATACCTAGCTCTTGACTGTATTTTAGTCCCAATTACTCGGTTAACACAGAGAAAAGTACTTCTCATTTTATTTATGATAAATGACATTATAATCATGTGAAAAATATACTTTGAATACGTGAGCTATTGTTTTGTAGTTGACATCATCTAAAGAAGCCATGTAAACCCAAATGCCATTGAATCCATATTTCTCTGTAGTATAGGACTCACTAGCGGCGCGCATCCATGACCCCCCTCAAAAACTGAATGCAGGAACTCCAAGTCTCGTGATGAGTGCCTAACCTTCACATATCTGAGTTGGGATCTGATAGCCCGGATCATTAGATAATCATTGAAAACCTGAAAGCACTTAATGACCATTTTGTCCTACTATGGGACTTCTCGGCAGTGAAGACTAGACATTGAGCATGCAGAAGGTTTAGCACATAAACCCCTGAGCTGAGACCAGTGGTGTACAAGTTTAAGTCCAAAAGGTCGACGGTATTGCTCAGCCACCTCTCATTCACAGAAACAAATGCAGATGAAGACAGTCAGTGTAGCACCAACCTCTGTAGCAGTAGGTTCCAAAATTCATAAGGGAAAACCAAGATCCTAAAATACAACAGTGGGTACAGACCTAATCTCATTTGATGGAAAAACTCAGAAGAGGTGAGAACTTTTATGTACCTAGTCAGCATCATCGATGAACAAGGAGGATATGATGCAGGTGTAAAGGTAAGGATTGATATAGCGAGAGCGTCATTCTCACAATTGAAGAACATACGGAAATCAAAACAACTGTCGGCCAACTACTAAAACCATCATCAAAAAATACAAATAGTTTCAAACAATTGTCTACGCAAGATACTGAATGTCAGTTGACCGGATACCATCAGCAACAACAAAACAACTTTCAACTGAAGAGGAAACTGGGAAGAGATGCTCGAGGTGTACAGGAAATACATTGCGGAAATCATCCAGTTGTATCAAGCGCTAACTTGAAATCCCGAAGGTAAAAACAAAAGAGAAGGATCCGATAACACATTGCATAAGGAATGGGAGAGAGACATCAAAAGAATAAAAAGCACTTGGGAACAACTTGCAATAAGCGCACACGATAGTGTAGCTCGGGGGTTGTTGGTCAGTGGCCGATGCTCATTGAGGGGTAACAGGTTTAAGTAAACAATCATCTTCCATTGTCTTTGGTGAGTATATTCCTGTTACCCGACAAAGTTTAGTACAACTGCTCATAGCTTCTCACTGGAAGTCCGAAAATTTCTTAGCAGGATTCATAGACAGTCTACATGACAGGCGGATTTTAACTAGCCAACTATTAAAATCCAAGTAGCGTTGAAGAATTCTTTCGTTCGAAAATAGAACTCTCCAGTATTCGGCACTTGAAAATAACCGAAACTACGACCTAGTGATTTAGAGCAACGAGTGCGGTACCTTTAAATCGCTAAGTTGGCTTCCTCATCAGGACGTAAAATATCTAGTGAATAAAACGCTATATCAAGAAAATCCACACAATATTCACATTTAATGAGAATGATCAATTAAGATCAGCCCCCAATATAAACTATAAGATGATTCTCATTTTTAAAACTAATTATATAAACACATTCAGTGAACAACTCAATAACAATTTGGTATCGGCAGCTTAACGGATAACAAAGCGTTTGAAGTGAAGGAAACTGGGTTTGTGTCTCAATGTGAACATCAACACTGGGACGTAGCTACATCCAGCTAACGTTCCCCAAATATTGGTTAGACGATCGCTGCGAGTCCTAAGCTCGATACCTCGTAAGGTTTTTGTGCATGGTAATGAGGAGTCTCATAAGAAAGTAAAACAGCAGTTCAATGCTCTTTGCTTTTCAATCGCAAACCAACCAACAATCTGTGACGTATACGACGTCCAGATAAAAACAATCTTCAGAAAACCCCTTAAAGCAAACCAATCATTTACACTTAATTATGCTTTGAATTACTAACCGGTCACAAAATTTAGCGAAAATATTAAGATAATATACTGTTAATTTATATGCTACTATTTATACTTGTCTTAATTTAATTCAGCTATTTACTTATTCTGAAGTAGCGGTTTATATTAAGTCACGAAACGTCAAAAATACAATTTTTCTACTCATTTTGATAAAACAAAAAATATATTCATTATTTATTATAAGATTTATATTCGATTGTTAAGTCAATACTCTAGTTCAGAACCATCACGAGGATCTAAATTTTTCTTTGCTTAATTTGTAGTTTTAATATACTAATCGAAATACTTAATACATTAATATACTTTGAATAGTTACTATTAATGAATAATAACTGTCTGAGTATCAGAATTATACATTACTTCTTGGCGACATATCAATATTTTTTTATTTCACTGTAGTCAAAGAAATAATGTAAAAATCGTGTTATGAGCTATTCTACAATCATTCAATTTATTCTCTATTGACATCTTCAAAATTTTAAAATTCTACTAAGCTCATTCATTTCCAAGGAAATTCGAGCTTATTTCGATAAAGAGATTTTGTGGAGATTATTTCTTGGATGATTTCTATAATAGATCATTATAATTATGTAATCAATAGTAACTTTGTTGCTGATGGATTCTTGAGACTTCATAGAAAACAACTTTTAATACATTTTGGTCTCATAAATACTAGAATGTCATAATAATCAAAAATGTCATAAAGTTTATATTTGCTTCTAAATAATTCTTTTTTCCTTGCTAGTCTTTATGCCAACAAATTTTTTCAAATAAATAGAATTCTTTTGTATGAAACAACACTCAGGTGACTTGTAGATATATAAACTTGTCAGTACATTCAAACTCATTGAATATCATTCTAATACTGATTTGTTGCTTGTATATCTGCAAAGTAGAGTAAGTTCGTGATTGAAATACTTGGTTGTAAGGCTGAAAACATGAACTATCTCCCTCTCACTATCTACTTAATTGTAGTAAACAACCAAATTGTTTTACCAGATTTAACAAAAAGTTATTCACCAATGTCGATTACATGAGTATGTATTTGATTATTGAAGCCTTAAGTCATTTACGTCTTCAATGTTCATTAAGTGTGCTGTATCCAGTAATTTTGCTTATTTTCCTTATCAATTAGTAGCTGTGTGCTGTATATTGCAATGTAAATTTCACTAAAGTTTTTATTTTAATCATCTCAAGTTGTCAGCATTTGTGTGTTACGGAAATGTCAGTGTAGCGCACCGCAATATTCGGGATGAAAAACGAATATTGTCAAAATCAGAGTTTAAAATATAATCTGTAAATTGAACCAGTATACATCACACCCTCACTAAATAAACAGAAAAAATGATTGAAGTTTATGGATACAACATACAATTATCGAACATTGATAATGTTGAGGATAACCTTAATTATTGTGTAATGCTGTATTCTATGTCTTCAAAAGTTACAATTTAATGAAAACTATTGTAACTGCTTAAAAATCTTGTGACTTAAGGCGATATCGAGGTAATCCGCACAGGGTGCACATATGCCAACATAAGACTGATCAATTGCAGTCCTAAATAACAATGGGAAGATACAAGTAAAACAACACCAAGTGAATTTAAACTTCACCCCATTGTACAGGCGAATAGCTATCAGGACTCTAGCTAAGTGGATAATGCGATGGCATTTGAGACGAACGGTACTGGGTTCGAGTCCCGGAGTGAGCATCACCTCCGCGACGCAGGTACATCCAGCTAAGGAGTCTCAGATAGGACGAAATGCACGTCCTGAGTCCCACTGTTAGCCACTATCAATCTTTGTTTAATAAATGCTTAGTATTTGTTAGGAAATACTAATTTTTCTCCCTAAAAAAGCATGAAAAAATAGACAAAGAGTACTTAACTTAGTTTTAGCTAGTTAGTACTTCTGGTAATTTATCGTAATTTCTAAAAGCACATATGTATTTATCTTTTTTTTTAATAGTCGAACACTTAAATTACCACTTATTTTGACAACTTTTGGGGAGCTTTAAAATGTTACTTATAACTTTCGATATAATCGTTGATATCAATAACCAAATTTTAACCATCGTGTTGTCATCTTGAGGATGTGTAGACTACTGAGTGTACAAATCTATCCAAGAAGTCAATGTCGCAAGCATTTATTGAACTATATATGTCACTTATAATTATAACTGCTTCAATAATCCTAAATAAAAATTCGATTATAGAAAGAACGATTTCGATTAGTAGACCTATAGGTTTATAGTACACATTGCAATCAATTTTAGATTGAGCCAAATAATAATATCAATTTAAATCTAAAAAGAATAAAACTTACCTGTTTGTCAATTTGTACAAATAATTCACAAAAGTACCATGTTCGATAGCTAACAGTTGAAATTTCTTGCTTAATGTTACTTCAGTCAGTTTAAACACTGAATTTCGAAAGTCACTAGTGTTAAATTCGAACTCCCTAACTTTGACTCCATAGTTGATTCATTTTTCCTTTAATGATGTGTTAGATGTACTTCATCAAGTTAACTGTACCTGATCAACTTGAGTAAATATCAGTCATAAATAAATATTTCAATTAAGCTTAACTACGCTGTGGATGCAATGATAAATATATTAATACCTCTAAGGTTATGGCGGATACATGAAAACAAAATGCCTTTTCACCCAGTCAGTCATGTGCAGTGTAGAGCAAGACACATTTGTTCATCGATTTAAGTTGCCAGATCATATTAGGGTTACTTGATTATGCCTACTACTCCTCGTGGAGGAGCATAGGCCGCCCACCGGCGTTCTCCATTAAACTGTGCCCTGGGCAATCCTTTACAGTTGCTATTCATCCTTTCAATGTATACCTCTGATTCCCGACACAGTGTGTTCTTTAGTCTTCCTCTATCCCATTTCCGTTCAGGATTCCAAGTTAGGGCTTGCTTCGTGATGCAGTTTAGTGATTTACCCAATGTATGTCCTGTCCACTTTCAGTGACTTGTCCTAATTTCCTCCTCAAATGGAAGCTGGTTTCTTCTCTCCCATAGTAGTATCTTCCGTAGACAGTTGTTTATAAATACTTGTACCTTTTTGATGATGGTTGTGGTAGTTCTCTAAGTTTCAGCTCCATACAGTAGAAATGTCTCGACGTTCGTATTGAAGATTCTCACTTTGATGTTAGTTGACATTCGTTTTGAGTTCCACATGTTCTTCAACCATAGGAATGCTGTCTTTGCTTTGCCAATCCTCACCTATACGTCTGCATAAGATCCTCCACGTTCATCGACGATTCTTCTCAGATACGCGAATGTTTCCACCTATTCCAGAGTCTCTCCATCAAGTGTGAATGCTTTGGTGTTCTCCGTGTTGTATTTGAGGATCTTGCTTTTCCTCTTGTGTATGTTGAGGCCTACCAATGCATAGGCTGCTGCTACATTAGTTGTCTATATCTGTATTTGTTGGTGTTTATGAGACAGAAGGGCTAGGTCATTTACGAAGTCCGAATCGTCTAACTGCATCCAACCTGTCCACAGTATTTCGTGCTTTTTCTCAGATGTGAATGTCTCCATAATCTAGTTAACCACCAGAAGAAAGAGACAGAGGGAGAGTAGGTAGCCTTGTCTGACTCCGGTCCTTACTTGGAATGCATCTATCAGCTGTCCTCCATGCACGATTTTGCAGTTTAATCCATCATAAGAATTCCGTATGGTGTGGGCTATCTTCTCAGGCACGCCGTAATATCGAAGAAGCCTCCATAGTGTTACCCTGTCCATGTTATCAAATGCTTTTTGGAAGTCAATGAAGTTGATTTAGAGTGATGGATTCCATGTATAATGACGAGTTTCATTAAACTGATCGTTCAACGATGGTCTGTGGTGTCGCGATTCGGTCCGTGTACGACCGATTCTTACGGAATTCGGCCTTTTGATTTCGAAGTTGGGTGTATATTTTATGAATATTTTCACCGTGATTTTCACATTGAATGCAAAGTACATCCTAGTCCTAGTATTATAAACCAGTCGTTCATGCTTACTGACTTCTGACTAGCTGAATGAATAAAAATTTTCCAAGATCATTTGAGGGGTCGTTTAATTTCAGTTGTATATTCTGCTATCACCATTATTTTATCCTTCCTCACGACTAATCGGTGATGCATCACAGAGTGAAGAAGGCTACTAATGTTTTGGAGATATTATCAATATTATACTGTTGAAGAGCTTCTAGTTAAGACGAAATAACATTTCTTCATTTTTGCTTTTGTCTAGCTTTCAAGACTACAAAAGAAAAGGATACAATATGACTCCTGTATTGTCGTTATATTTTCGTAAAAATACTTCACCATTCGAATATGTATGTTGTATAAAATCAAGTTGTATTTCAATCGACTCATGTTTTACGTCATCTGAGTTGATATGCATTGATTTGCCTTCATTAACTAATAACAATTCGTCATTATTATTATCATTGTCACTATGTTGTACATGATTCACTGCAGTCCATCCTTGTTCGATATACTTACGATTTGATAATTGATAAACAATTCTATCTGTTTAAATAAGAAGGATACCAACAAAAAGAAAATTGAATTAAGTTTTGATCAAAAGTGAGACTTTATATTAAGTGATCTTGACGTAATAATTCATTATTTTAAAAAAATGTTAGAGACAAACATTAGGTAATCGGTAGTAGTTGGATGGTAGCGTTAGACTTTATTTTCATGCTAGTTGGTGGTCATCGTCAAGGTGTGCTTACAATATAAACAAATAACTACAATTATAATAGCTTATGTAAACTGATTAACCAATTACTTGTTTATGAACTCATATTGCATCCACACGGCTTGTATGTAAAGACTAGTGATACCATCCAGAATATCAAACTGAAATAAATGAGTTGAAACCTTCGGTCGACAAGTTCAAAGCTGAATACTGTAACTGATAAGTAACTACTTCAGTTAGAACCTATTTACTTGGATGTTAATTTACAATAGTTAAGAAACGCTAAAACAATTCTTCTTCAGAATCATTTAAGCAAACTTTATTTTTGATTGGTTTTTATTAAGAACTGATATAATTTGTGATAATATATCTAGAATAAGAGAGCACTGGACAGGTATATCGTTCTATGAGACTCATGATCAGTATGAACTGAAAACCGTATCAGGCATCAAACTCAGAAGCATCTAGCCTAGTGGCGAGCTACGAGGCTCCAGATCATGGTTATCTCGTGATCGATAGGGACAGATATCCAATGTCGTAAACTGTGCACTACTGAGGGCTTGCATACTAAAAAGAAAGTTTTATAGTAATACCTTCGTTCCACTGATTTTAATTTGTGACAAAAGCCACTTACAAATCAAACAAATATTGGGAATGTCTCAACAAACTTTCTTTGTTATTACAAAATCTATCCGAGTTTCTGCATTAAACTCTAACTGAAATCGTGGATCTCAATCAGTAACTTATATGATAAGTATTATTGCTTTAAATAAATTGTCAGTCACCCAAATTTGTAAAGTTTTCGATGTACATTTTACTCATTGAAAGTTAGGTTGTATGTGGCTAGTAAAATCTAGATATGTCGGCAGTGAAACAGTTGTTATGGGGAGTGTCACTTACTAAGTGGTAATACTTTTAAGGATATCGATCTAAAATATTTACTAGATTCTTACAGTATCTAAAAACGTGACTGATTTTTGATTGTGAACATTTTAATTCCTGGTGAGGATTACTTCAAGGGTGTTGATCCATGACCCCATTTACTAATTTCAAGAGGTGATATCTGGAGTTTCGGTGGGTGGAGTCCAGCAATGTTGAATGTCAAGTAGTTATCCAGAAAAGGCACTGGAAGATAGCTATAAAATGTCACGAATTTATCCAAGTTGAAAGTGCGGATAAATTTTTGCCGACTCAGCCGTCTTAATGTTAGGCCCTTGTGATAGCACCTGAAAATCATGGGTTTGATCTCTCATGTGGTCATGAATACACACTGTCGAAGAATCTCGTATTGAACTGAGACAACCGCCTGGCACCTGGATTTCAATGGCCGCCTAATCAACATCAGTTCATAATGTAAGCTATTAGATTCAATAATGTTCATAAACCCCCAATATCAATAAAAAAGACGATAATCAGAGTAATCGTAGTAATTGTACATGGTTCGGCAATTTCTTATTTAAAATGAATAAAATTATGTTCATATTAGTTATAATTCTATATTTGTCAAATCTTAATAACTGTATTAGTATATAATAACTTTGTTCAAGAATATGACTAATGAAATTTAAGTTTTTCATCACAAACTGATGTAACTTTAGTGATTAATGATTAACGGATCCGGAACACGACACCATTATTGCTGAAAGTAAAAGATAATTTTTGAATGCCTATATTGTTTCAGGAAAGGAACTTTAAAATGAATCTTCTGTCATGTATCCTTCTCATTTTGTTTTTATTCAAAGGGTGAAGTTTATGACTATACATAAATTGGTTAAAAATCGAAGTTGTAAGATCTCAGTCTGTAGAATGTAATATTTCTAAGAGATTACTCAAAAACCTTTCAGTTCCTAGTAAAATAGCATGAATTCATTTTATTTCGTTTGGTACTCGTCAGCTGCTTAAAACCTGTGATATTTGAAAATCATAATTACAAAACGGGTTTAAATTACTTACATAAAAGAGTTCAGTTGGAAGTTATTTTGAAGACACTTCAGTATAGTACAACAAGGATGTAAGTAATTTAAACCCATTTTGTAATTATGATTTTCAAATATCCCAGGTTTTAAACAGCTGACGAGTACCAAACAAAATAAAATGAACTCATGCTGTTCTGCTAGAACCTTTGTTCTTGCTGATTTACAAAACACCCATATGTTGCGAGAATCTCGATACTATCTAACCACTGAAGTAAAGTTCAATTTATGGTAAGTTGGGTCATTATAAAGTATCCTTAGTAACACATCCATATTATTTATCAATTTGATAAAATTTACATACTATAATTCACCTTTAACGATCCAGAAAATCTGCAGTAAAGCAAATTCTCAGTTCATTATGCCATATGGCATTTGGATTTATTAATGCGAAAATCCCTATTCAGATATGTACAGAAAGAAAAGACGGTTTCATTGATTGCTGATCATAATAACAGTTGGTATTACGCCTAATAATTTCTTTTATTAATATTCAAACCATTCTACTTATTAAAAATCATTAATGATATAATTCGGAATTTATGAATCTGTGAAATAGAGTTAAATACCAGAGAACATCTAGATTGTACGATAATTATGATACAGTGGGCAAGTTAGACATTAGTCGGATGTTAAGTGCACGCAATTGGCCAAGATATGACTTTCTATTCTAAGGAATGAGACACTCCACTGGAGGAAAAACGGTGATTCGGTTTGCCAATAAAACCTTCTTTCTCACGCTCTCAGTCTTCACGCTCAAATGAATGGTTGAACTCACGAACAGGAAGTTTGTTTATCAATTTTAGGTAGGACATCGCTCAATACAACAAACTACTTTAATACTGTGACGGATATTATAAAAGTGTTCAAGATAATTTATCATATGATATCACTGTATACTATAGAGATTTATAATGATCATAATAGAAGGATACTGTTAGCTTGAGGCAAATAAGTGGGGGAAGACGGAGAAGTATTATGTGAATTTTTACCGCGTACTTAATAAATGATTCAGTTATACTTTTTTCATATTACTCTTATCGTAAACATTCATTTATTAACTGCTGCCATTTTTTTCCCAAGAATTTTTTTTAATTATCATCAATTGATCATGAACTTGTGATTCAGATTACATTCAGTGAATATACTAGTTGGTTATTTACTGTAATTTCTTATCTGTGATGTGTTATAATCAGAAATTAGGTGTACAATAAGCCAGTAAGTTTTTGATTCAACATGACCGTAATTATAGTATAAGAATATAAATTAGTTCTGTTTGCCATTTTTGTTTTCTAAATGACTACTGTAAATAACAGTTCTCGGTGAAATTAAGAGTTATGATAAAGGTCTTTGTTTAGCCACTCGTGTTTTGGGTGAAAAGAGGATCATTAGTCAGATAAAGTGAGAATGTTATTAGCAGATCCCAATATCAAGTGACCCGATCGAACGGGCAACAGAAGAAAGTCTGAACTTACAACTAGTACAGATTGATGATTGTATTCAACAAAATGATACAGTAGTTGATTACCGTCCAAATGAACCGGTAACAGGTATGAGTGCAACATGAACAACCCTATGCTGAAATTTATCATCTGCTCACTGGTGACTAGCTTCGAGAGAAAATTTCCGCAGTTTTAGTGTGAACCTGTGACCAGAGGAGCTAGATCGTATAGGGTATGAGGCAGTTACCCACCGAAGACAATGGAGGATGGTCGCGCAATGTCATGGATTGGTTGGAATCGGACTTGTACACTGTTGGATGCTAGCTCAATGGTTTATAGGTTTAGTGTTTTTGAGGGACCGAATGTCTTGGGTTTGGTTCCCATATGCGGGGTTGTGAATGCTCACTGCTGAGAAGTCCCATATTGGAACGAAACGGCCCTCTAGTGCTTCCAGGTTTTCAATGGTTGTCTAACTTTAGTCGGCTCATGAGTTTAAAGATATTCAATGAGTTTATAGTACTGTACAGAGTATACCATTCGGTGAATATTGTTTACGTAATGGTCGTATTTTTCATTTGGTAATGTTAACAACTGCAATTGATCAGACTCTGTTGATAAACATACATCGTAGGCGGATTGCCTTGATATTTTCATTTAGTCACACATCCCTAAGTAGGAATAAACGGACGTCCTGGATTTCACCGTTAGACACAGTCAAACTTTACTGAAATTCACGTTCTTGTTTTGCCTAAGTTTATGAAAGGGAGGTAGCTGAAGTATAACTACTGAGAATAACTTTCTTTGGGATATAATAAAACTTGAAACTTCTATCTGAATATTTTATATTCAAACTAGTGACCATTTCAAACTTGGGATAATGTACAGTGTAGTTAAATTAAATGATTAATATTCTAAAAGAAAATTCAATTCTATATCATAAATCATTCTTATTAGTGAAGTCAAGATGGTTATAAGCTTGCAGTTGAATCTAGGAAGTCTGTTTCTTCCCATTCAGGACTGCTTATCAACTAGATGTGACTGCATCCATGTAATGATTTTCACTCCAATTCTCGAATCCAGTACATCTTGCTTCAAATATCCAATGAGTGATCTATTGAGCTATTGAGTTCAAATATCCACTAGCTTGTGCAATGAGAATTAATTTTATATTATTCATGTTATCAGTTATTGAAACTATTTGTGGTAATTGTGAGCTGTTTCATTTCACATGATATTGTAGATTATTATGTGAAACTCTTTTTAAAAAAAGATCATATCCAGTTAATCATTTACTTTCAATCTGATTATGTATTGATTACTTTCAATAAAAATAATATTTTTTTGTACCCATCAATTTTGTAAGTAATAAGAAATGATGGTATCTACACCACAAGTGTATCATTTTGACAGACTGATGTTATTCGATAAACCAAATGCTTCATTCGTGAAATCTATGACTAAGAAACTGAGTAGCATATATGTAATTGCTGGAGGATCCATCAGTTCCCTCAATGTTGCAAACATCTCTCGTTGGTAAATGCTAATTAGCACAAAATCTAGATTGACTATGGTTTCTCTATCATTGACTACAACCATTGAATATTGATCTAATCCGTTAAGTACAACAAAACAATAGCTAAGATAGCAGCGAATTCGAAATAAAATATTCACCAGCCAGTCTACGAAAAGCCAAAAAAACACCCGTCGACAGTTTATTACTTTTATATAAGCATGGAAAGCGCTAAGAATTGGAGAATAAAATAAACGACTTACATTAAATGAATACGAGACATACAAAACCAAACAAGTATTCATAAACTAACCAGTTGTATATTCGGTCTCTTCACTATCGTCGTTATTTGTATTTCCAGTAGTATCAACTAATGACCTAACATAATGTAAAATAGGAATTGATTATTGTGTGAACATATATGTTCATATGTGTACAGCAATATTTAGTACAATAAATACTATACATAATTAACCATAAATCAATTCAAGTTGGTAATGTGATTGATTAGATTTGGAATAAAACAATCTAAAAATGTTATAATCTCAGGATGATGTAATGTAATTGGAAAGTTTGATTTTATATAGAATCGTATGTGAAAAATACTACCCAATTCAAAGTAATAATGTGAAACAGTTTGCTCATTGTATCTTTGATTTTGAATGATCTTTCTCTAATCAACTTTCATTTATTATTTAAGGAAAACTATTTTCAGATATTACAAATCTCGAAAAAAAAACTTACAGTTCTAAATTATCAGTATACGGTTGTGAAAATTATTGATTTTAAGTTGATATCATAAATGGATAAATGTTAGACAACCATTGAAAACCTGGAAGCATTGGACATCTGTTTCGTCCCAGTATGAGATTCCTCAGCAGTGAGCATCTACGGTCCCACACGTTGGACTCATACCAAAGAACTTCAGTCTCATGTGAAAACGCTTAAATGACATAATACAATGTCTTTGTTATCATTTCATTCAATCATATTCAACGTTAAATTGATATTTACAAATTGATTATGAATATTTTATTATCTCCAATTTCTTGTAACTGAAATTACTATTAGAGTTAATTAAGAAAACTATCTTCATAGATATGAAATGATAAAATCACATGTGATCTAATAAATAATAACAAATGACATTTTCTAATGAAAATATTAACATAATGAATCTTTAAAAAAAATGGTAAATGGATTGAAAAGTTAATTGAAACGAGATCATTTATGATTCATCGTAAGTTCTTAAACAACAATAGAACAAAACAAACAAGCATGAAATATAACGATTCAAGAATTTTGTATATAATGATGATGTATTAAGATATTTATGATGAAATTAAGAACAATTTTCAATAACTTCATTTCAAAGAGGTGTTCAATAACACAGATTCAAAGTTGAACTATTTCCGAAAGTATAGTGTTATATTATCAAATATTTACGAATACATACACATATCACATCTTTTTAAGAATATAAATTATATCAATCAGCCAGTCAGTCAGTAAGTCTACTATATACATTATAGAACTTGGAATATTTTTGTATCGGTTCAAGTTTCCACATCACATTGGCATAGTGTGATAAAACTATCAAGACATATTCCACAGTAATAGAAGTAATTACAGCGTCACTAGTAGATATAAATAATATTGTCAGAAGGGGTTTTGTGGAGATTTTAGAAATTTCACTGATTGAAATCATGAGTCAGTTGAAGCTAGACCACCACGGAAAACCTTGAAGCACTGGACGGCCGTTTCGTTCTAGTATGGGACTCCTCAATAGTGCGCATCCACGATCCCGCACTATATTGATTGATACAAATTACGTTTAATCTTGATGTATGTCAAAATGGAAATTGTTTAAAATAAATACTTTACATATATATATATATATATGCAATAACACCTAATTTGATAACCTATTTACATTCACATGTTGTCCAATAGACTGTTATACATTATATTACTCACTAACGTTTGGACTAAATGATGAAATAAAGAAGCAACCAATTTATGGCACAGCCGTAAAATGATAAATAATTTTATTCTGTTAGTTTATAACATTTGGATAGAGTTCTTATTATGATTGTTTATTCTATTGACTCTAAAACAAGCCAAGCGCATTTCAGATTAATAACCGGTGATAATCTTAGTGTAACTTCCATTTATATCACATATAAATAGTAAACAAATACTAACTGTAATTGAATAAAATGTATTTTGATTTCTTAATTAAACAAGATCACTAAATAATAAATAAGAACTTTTGTCTTAATTTGATCGAATAGTTTCACAGTATTTGAGCACGGAGTTAATGTGAGACATTTCCTTGAAAAAGTTTGGATCAGATTATCAGGCAAAACGTTAGATTTACTTCATATTCATTCACTGAGATTTTACAAATGCATTTTCCTCCACTTTAGTATTTCGCATTAATTCGATCAAATTTAAACAAAAAAGTCCTTATTTATTACTCTGCAATCTTATCAAAATATCATGAAATGTTTCTCATTTCTCTTCTTAACTTTTCTTTATATATTGTACCATTTTTCGATATCTAAACTGTGTCATGTCCTTTGGTCTGTCTACCCACTTTTGGTGCTGAGGACATTTATCTAATCTAGATTAAGACCTTGGCGCGATAGACTGACTGACCTAACCTTGAGGCTAGTACGCGTGAGTTCGAAATGGCGTAGAGAGAAGAAAAATATTTTATCACCTGATTGGCTGACAAGCATGCGAATGAGAGAAGAAAAGACAAGTGGAACACTAATCGATCTATTCCTGATTTCAGATTAGTGTAAAAAGGTACATGAATAAATAGGTGACTAAACCGACCACAACATACAATAATTAGGAAAAATACAATTATGTCCAAAGCTGGGAATTAGAGTAGAAAGAAGGCGCGGCTAAGAAGAGGAGGCAACGGCTCAATAAGAAGTTCTATAATCGAACATCTTGTGAACACAGGTCACTCAATCAAGACAGATTCTGCGTTCAAAGTCATCTACAAGGTAAGTAGAAGCCTTTCTAAGACAATTAGACTGCATCTTCTTTGCATTGCCGAGGCAATAGCCATACATTTCGAAAAACCAGAATTATGTGTACAAAAGAGACTGGTACAACCTCTTCTTTTACCATGGTCTTGATGTATTAAAAATTTTTTCTCTCTTCATACTCTTGTTCTTTTACAGCCACCTGCTTCACCTTCCATCTTCCCTTCAAATCTTCTACCCCCAACCGGTTTGTTTTTATTTCCACGATCATTCCGATTACATTTCATCTCTGTTTCAACATTTTATGTTATTTTATCATGCTGGAAAAAAATCCATCCTTACCCGATGAATACTTAAGCCATTAACTATCAAACTTTCCTTGTTCTAAAAATTTTGTTCTAATACCTTTGTTTATTTAACCTCACTGTCACCATGTATAACAGAAGTTTATTATCAGTATTATTATCACCCTGTAAAAATAAGTATAAATATTTGCGATTGTACAGCTTTGAAAATGAATTCGCCGAAAAGAGAACTCTTCGCTGAACTAATCTTTCTTTCTTATAGAAAATAGGATGCAAAATATCATATTTAAATTACAAGAGATTCGGAGCAGGAAAGGGTATGGCAATGAATCATACACCGAACGAAAGCTTATGTTCTGCAGAATAGATTACGGACAAAAATAAATGTTAGTGTTTTACAAGCTTTGCATAAAATGAAATAACGTATTACACTGAAGAATGAATAGAACAATAAAGAAAAATTAAAGCAAAATATAGTTGAATTTTAAAAAAAAGTAAAGTACAGTTTTGTCACATTTTTAATCATCCTTAAATCATCAGTACAAGGTCGTAGAGATTACTGAGTTTTAATTGAGATTAGGAACCAATCAATATTAGACTATCATTAAAAAAACAAACTGGAAGCATTAAATGGTCATTTCGTCTTAGTATTGAAATCTTTAGCAGTTCATACCCACAATCTTGCATATGGAATTGGAACCATGGATATTCGGTCTCATGAGGACGCTTAAGCTTTAGATCATTGAACTGGCATCCAATAGTGTTAATGTCTAACTTCAACCAATACACGATATTGTATGACCATCTTCCATTACCTTTGGTGGGTAACTGACTCATCTATAAATTATTTGACGGATCATGACCAGGGTCAAAAGTATAGTGGTTTTTTTCGGTGAAACTATATTAAACAAAAAAGCTCGAATCATGCTAAGAGTGGCCTTGAGATTATGTCACTTATTAGATGCAGACAGTACGCAAATCATCAAAACCAAGAATCTGTGACTCGAAATATAGTGAAACGTCAGTGTATGTTGTGTTAGTTTTATGTAGTTTATGAGTTTCTTTTTTCAAAATGTATTATAAGTTTTTTTTGTCTTGAGAGAGATTATTTTAATTACATAAACTAATCTGTTCATGATAAAGCCAGATTATATTTAAACCCTTTATCTGGTCATAACTACGTTTCTGAATGATTTCTCTTACATGTCACGAAATTAGCGCAAAACATTATATAAAAGAATAACCTAAAGACGTCATGACACAGTAGTTTATGAATCATGTAAGTAAAATTCTTAACCTTTTTGATTGATTTTCTACAGTACCTGCGGTGCCTACAGGACTCTAGATAGGACTCAAGGACTTCAGTGATCGCAACGCGCCTAGATTTCTTCGTTTGATTCAGAAGGAAACATGTATATGTACCTAAGATATTTGCACCTAAATATTTGATTCTGCCAATTACAGCTTCTTCGTCATTCTTCAGTCTCCTCATTCTCATAGTTGATTGAGCAAGAACATAGGAAATGTGTGTAATACTAATAAGTAACTTCTTTAGGTATCGTTGCAAACATGATATCTCCAAGATACGGAACTGGTATTCAACAGTTACAGTATTTTTAAACTCAGTCAATTCAAGATAAATGACATACTATATGTAAATTTAAAAGTGTAATCACAACACAGAATTCAAAATATATTCAGACATACAACACCAATCATTAATGACAGATCATCAGATGAGTGTATAATATATACACCAGAAAAGACAACACTGTTTGTATAACCAATAGGAGACTATTACATAAACATACCTGATTGAATCTTGACATGTTTATCTATAAACTGAATATAGTAATTTAAAAGTCAAACTGAACAAAGTTATATGAAACAGGTAAACAAATTCATAATACAAAACACAATGATAGATTTACTCTATTTTAATTTTTTTTTTCAAAGTATAAGATCTTTAAAAATGTTTTAAAAAGATTATGTATATCACAAAATTAATTCAGTTAGACAACCATTAGAAATGAGGGAGTGTTAGTCAATTAATTTCATTGTAACTTCTCAATAGTGTGCGTTTACAACCATAACACTGATGGAGACTAGAAAAAGCATTCTTCACGATGACCAAGTTATGCTTGGACAATTTTGACGAAATGCATTAGAACACGTTTATTTAACTTCGGTTAATTTATCACATCTCTAATTATATGGTCATAAGTGATTAACATTAGTGAGAATTCTTTAAGTTCTGTTGAGAAAAAGTAACCTGTATAGTTCAACTACATAAGGAGTGGGAGATATTAATGATAGTACAGGATGATCGTTGGGCAATATTCCTAATTGACTGAAATTAGATATATAGGCTATTAGATGGGGACTTAGTTAGTCAAAAGTTTAATCGCTCCCTAATAAGCTTGAAGGTTCGATCCTCAATTCCTGGTGGAGTCGTAAGTGCGCACTGTTGAGAAGTCCATTATTAAAACGAAACATTTGTTCAATGCTCTCATGTTTTCAATGGTTATCTAGTTGAAATCAGTTTGTGATATAAATCTACCTTCAAACTGAACAGTTTATATAAATAACTAAATGAAAATATATCATATATGTATATTAACATTTTACTTTATAAGTTACGAAACTTACTCTGAAGTTTCTTGCTGATTCTTCATGTCTATATATTTTTGGTCTTGATTTTGTATTGTTTCCTTTAACGTTTCACTCACAGGTTTGTCAGTGTATATAAAAAGAAGAGTGATTTTTTAAAAAAAAAACAAGTAATAGCTACAATTCCATCAGTAATTGCATATTACCGATAAAATAGTTAACCTTTATGCAGTATCCTACATAGCATTACATTACCTTAGTTACAAAACTGATGAATAAGGTAAATAAAATAATTAAGTGAATAGATGAACTGTGGTTAACAGTAATGTCCGCACAGGACGGACATATGCCAACTAAAATTGCCATCAGACAAATGAAATAGGATAATAAAATGAGTAAGAGAAACAACACAATGCAAATATGTTCAAATTAAAATTATGTGTATTATTTAGGAGATAAAAGGTATCAGCACGTTAGTTAATATGATTCTTTTAAAGGCATGAAACTAATTAATTTACAAATACTAATCAGTAAAACTAACTTATATGGGTGAGCTAATCAGATATGAGGCCCAACTCAGTCAGTCTGAAAACAATTACTGTGAATGAATGATTTAGAATTAGAGTCAAGATGAAGGTTTAGGATTTATAATTACAATCATCATTTAAGGTTATGATTTAAACTTAGGATAAGGCTTTTTGGGTAGTTTATGTATACTCTAGTCATTATTCCTAAACCTTATATTTTAAATTGTAATCTTAACAAAATTCCCATACTCTTCATCCCAATTTTAATAACCCTAAATTTGGATCTTAATCTTAACTCTAACCCTTAACTTAAATCATAAACTCTAAAGTTTATTTCTAAAGCATATTTCAATTTCCAACTTTCATCTTAAGTATCAAACAATGTTTTCGACATTAAAACTCATCATGTACATTAGATAGACAATAATCTATTTTGACATATACACTTTAATCAAGAAGTAATCTTCTCGTCCTTTATAAGTAAACCTTATCATATTGATATGAACCTTTCAATATGGTATAAATTTAACCAGAACTCGATAAGTATTATGAAAATAATAATCATAATTAAATTATTTCAAATTCAGTAATTAGTTAAAACATAAACTATCAAGTTGTTTTAATATAGTTCATCATATTCATTTAATTAATTAATATAAATGAAATTCATGTAAAACCTAAGTCACATCAAATTGATCTAGATTAGTCAGTTACTAACAAGTAATCAATATTATATGATTATTATTTTTGTTGTTGTTGCATGTTGACCAAATTATATATCAACTAAATTTATAACGTGATCTGTATCGTTACTGATTGAAGTATATAAGATGACCATTATAGGGACCGTCAATGCTTATATTACAAATGATAAATCGGTAAAGAGTCAGTTAACTGTATAAAGTTATGCAGAAAAAAAAGTGATCATTTGAATACATAAACAACCTACATAGTTATTCATTATGATTTAAATAAAGTTCTTAGTTTAAAATCTATAAGGAGGATTAATTTTATTATCATTTGGTAAGAGTTAATTCACAAGTATATCGTGTTATTATTGTTGTACTGGATAATAGTTTCTGTGACGTACAAATATTTAAATGATATTCTTATGAAATTTTTGTCCGACAAAGATTGGAAGCAAATAGATGGAATTATTTAAAAAAGATTTATTCGCAACTGACTGATCACTGAGTGATGATCAATATCATGTGTGTCAATTCTTTCTTAGTGTAGATCGAATTCTGTCGACCAAGTTGCTATGTGGCCACTAGTCTAGGTGATTCGACATTGCGTGCACTATGTTAATATAAGATGGTGGTTGTAGGTAGTCAACAGGAAACTTTGGACTCGGGTTTTGTGCTATTTGGTACTCGTCAGCAATGTGTACCTAACTGGAAAGCTGGGTGACACGGGATCGAATCCATCAGGGAGCAACAGTCCCCTCAAGATTACAGGTACACCTGGCTGACGAGTGCCAAATAGCATGAAATCCGAGTACAAGGTTTCCTGTTGACTACCTCCAACCGCCATATTATCTCAAAAAAAATTTATCCACAATCTTGTGAAACGATCCAGTTAGAAATGGTTTAGTTAGTTAGGAAATATGTCATAAGTTGAGATGTTATGCAATTAAGAATCAAATAAAAAATGTACCGTTTGGTTGGGATGAAAAAACTCTTGAAAAAGATGAGTACATATATATATATATATATATATATATATATATATATATAAACAACGTTTAATTAATGTAGCTCTTGTGTAGAAGAGGAGATAAAGAAAAGATGAAATCTTAAATTCTATTATACGGTGAACTACTACGTTTATTTTTACAGCCCAATTATTAAATACTTGATTGATGGTATTTTCCTATTATCTTAATTATAAACTTTCATTTAATTGATTAATCGTTGATATGTGTTTTTCCATTCCAATATTATTGCTAATCAGTTATTCACTAGTTGTTCAGCTTCTCATGCTTTATGACTCGGTCATGCACAAATTATAATTTCTTAATTGTGATGAGTTGTGATTGTGTAATGAACGTACAAGATGATGACTTTTGCAATCATAATAATAGAAGGTATTTCGGTTTGCTATGTTCACCTTCTGATTGGTTATTGAGGATATAAGAAAACTAATGATGAATAATACAATTTTACAACCTTTATATTCGTCATTTTTGGAAGGATAAAGAAATAAGTAAGCAACTAGTACAACGTGAAAATATGCCTAGTTATCTGTTGAAGACTTTAGCTGAATTTAATTTTCAAATCATCTATATTTTCAAAAATTATACGCGTATTAATGATCATCTTGAATAAATAGGATGATTGATATCTAAAATATAGTCTTAGTCGACTGTAAATAATGTGTAACAATCCTCCCTTAATTTAATATGAAATGGCTAGATATATTTTCCGCAACGTAATATCTATGTAAGATCAATATGTTTCTAATTTTGTACATTGTTAATGATTTAGTGAATACTTTACAAATATACATTAGTGATCAACTTACTTAATAACTCTGTTTCTGATCCTGAAATTTTTGTGCCAGATTCATTGACTTGATTCTCTGATGCATCTTCTGTTAGATTATTTAATTTTTGTCTATTATGATCACGTCGTTGCTGACGATAACGTTTGTATAACATTTCAGAATAACTAACTGCCAAACGAAAAAGACGATGATATCGATCGCAACAATATCCTTCATTTGATAAATGAAATGGTTTTGTCAATGTAGACGACAGAATTCGGCCACAAAATTTACAATTTTTACTACCATCTGCTATCGCAATTCGTTTAGCGTATGTTTGAGCCAATGAAGATAATTTCAACTGTTCTTGATTATTTCTACAACATATATCTTTTACAACCTTTAAACAAGTGACAATCAATGCAAGGAAAAAAGTCAAGATTACATAATTGCAAAATTAGGAGACTTAAATAACGCAAATGAAAAGATGGCGAACCGAAAAACATGATTAATCTTAGATCAAATGAAGTAATTTCTTCAATGTTGATTGGTTACCATGACTCTTAGAATACTTGCTTCGCCTTGAAACCAATGTTCTGATTGGATGAATATGTGATAGACATATGTCTGTTTTTCATGTTTATGTTTTCAACCTTATTGGGTTGCGAATTTTCGACGTATGTCTTGTGCAACAGGATATAGGGGTTGTCTAGAGAATTAAAAAAAAGTCTTCTTTAATTAGTTCGTGTTACTCTCACCATGTCATTAGTGTTTGTAGTGCTGTCAAAGTTCCATAAAAAAAACCCGGAGAACATAGACTTACTTGAGTGTACGCTCAGTTAATACAATATTTGAATAAACACTTGAAATAAACCTCAAAAATATAAGTGAACACTATCCGTAGTGAAATGTTTTCACCATGTTTCTAGAAAAATATCCATTCAAATGTCAATTACTGAGGTTATGCTTGGTTAATAACAACGACAGTATCTTTGAGTATTCTTTTTGAAGAACTTAGTGCCTCATTTTAAAAAGAAAAAAATGACTACCTATGACAGTAAGGATTTTGCAAAAAAGGTATAGATTGTTAGAATATAGTGAACAATTGAGATGCTAGGTGGTTGGGAGGGAACTCTAGACGTATGTGTTATGCTAGTTGGGACTTTTGTCCAGACTGAGTACCTGTATAATTATGAAGGAAGTTCTGTGGAAAAATAATTTTGTCTTAATATTATTTCACTTTAATTTTATTAAGGAAAGGTTATTTACAGACGTGCTCTATCCTACTAAGAATATCTTGACAACTTGAATGTGATCTCTACATGTTCAATGGCACGGGTTTTTGACGTCATTATCTTCATAACTTAGCCGTTGGATTATATAACATGAAATTGGTGGGAGTAGGGCATTTGTACTCATTTGCTATCTACCTCTTGAGTCAATTATCATTTCTGAATTTTCAGTAATTGATCATATTTGTTTTTGTTGTGTCTAGATCTTAATTGGTCTTGATATAATTCTTCCAGATCTATAGTATTCATTTTGTTAGTTTGACTTAAGTTATGGTAACTTGGACCGATGCACACTTGTGCCGGGTGTTAGGCTGATAGAAACTGATGCGAATTGGTATGAATAATGAATGAAAATGGAGAAAAAACACTTATTTTTTCAATACAAACAATATTGGTTGTCCATATCTATAATTTAAATCTATAAAATAAATTTAATTCAGTGATTAAGTACATTATGCACTCAGTCTTGAGGTGCACTATTTTGTATGAACACTAAAAAAACCGCTATTTGGCTGTACAGTCTGTCAGTTATAAGCAATGTAGAATCTGTCACACGTATTCAAGTCGTCACACTACATCAGCAAAATGAGTTGAAATTATCAAGACAAATTCCAGAACAGTAGAAATGCGGTGTGTGCTAGTTTTGTCGATGGATATAAGTAGTATGTATCATCAATCGAAAGTGCAACGCCTGGCAGTAAAAGGTTAAGGAGATCAAAGAAAAAAGAACGAGAACAGAGAATGATTGGTGTGGAAATGGAGGAACAATAAAGTTTGAGACGACTGGTTGACATTTTGCAACTGAAGTATTTACTGTACGGTTTTCAAATTTTACTAAGATGTTCTGTAATTTTGTATTAAAATACATTCGATTGTCCCCGCTTGTGTTCTCGTTCACTACAGTAGTAACAGTATCCGTAGAAGTGGACTAGATTTGACATAGACAATATGATCCGAGAAAGAGAATCAATCCGTGGAACAAAAGTATAAACATTTCAACACAGAGATTGAATGCATTTGTCTTTACGGTCGATTATGAGCCACCGTCAAATGTCCCCAACTGTCGGTTACAGTAGTCGCGCGCACCCCATTTAGGTAGTCTGTATCCATCTACACAGCCCACCCCAACAATCAATGATTCCATGGACTGATGTCAAGTCCTGGCTTGACTGTCCAAATCAAATTCGCTCAAGTCTGATCCGAACCTGTAATTCATTGATTGAATGTTAAGTACAAATAAATCAGTAGGACCAGTGCTCTACATTCCAACATACATATTACAAGATAATGTTGTAACGTATAGTATATTGGATAAAATCGTGGTTTAATTGTAATGGCCTAACTAAAGATTTGGTTACATAATAAATACTTAAACACCTAAAGGATTATCTACTAAAAGAAGGAGCAACTGTCTCAGTGACTAAATGTTTCATTACAGATTAAAGCCATCACTGTAATAAATGAAATATTCAATCGAATATTATGTACCTATCAGTTAGTACGAATGATTAAATCAAGAAGTGAATCTAAGACATAAAGTAACTCATAATTTTCCCATTTTGGTTATAATAACAAATGACTTTAGGCCTAGCACATTCTCTTTCTCATCTGACTAGGTCAACACACCTTAAAGGATTCAACAGGTGAGGCCGAAAGCAAAGAATAAACTTCATGTCTGTCTAATTAAGTCTGGCCTATCAAATAATCTTGCCTTGAAATCTACTCCAGAAGGAATTGATATTTGCTCTATTGACCAAATCGTTCGGGAGAATATTGGATATATGTGAAAGCATATTATAAAGCGACTATCACTGGTCACTGGACTTCCGTCTTTAAAGTGAAAATCGTGGATTGTTTTGAGTTAGACATGAACACCGTTGGATGGTCTAGAGGTTAAGCGTTCACGCGTGAGACCGATAGGTCCTGGGTTCGGATTTCGTGGGCGGGATCGTGGATGCACGCTGCTTAGGACGAAACGGTCGTCTAGTGCTTCCATGTTTTCCATGGTGGTCTAGCTTTAATTGACTCACGAATTCAACTATTAAATTACTAGAATCTAAAATGTCATTAAACTTTTTTGATGTCTGACTAATGAAATTCTGAGATAAAATAACATTACTAGTTCATTAACTTACTTGTAATATATAAGGAAAATTAAATTTATTGTTTACATTTTGTTCATTTTTTACACTTTTGAAATTATCAACTTTATCCAAACTATTAGGAATATTAACATAAGCATAATTAATCCAATTAGATATTGGTTTATTTATCCATTCACGATTTGTATATTCTTCCTTAGTAGGATACTAAGTGTAAAAGAGAATTTTGAAAGAAAGCATAACAAATCTGTAAAAAGAAAAAATATGGTGTAGCATGGTATAAAGACAAGGAAATGGTGAAAAACACTGCGAGATTGTGTAAATGAATGTTTGGTGAGACCTTTGAGTGACGCTAAAGTGACTTTGAGTGTGTCTACCTACTTACTAGGGTTAAATGAGGGTTATAAATCAGTTTGAAGAATAAGGATTATGATTTATAGTTGATAGTTAGTGTTAGGAATTAGATTTAGGGTTTTCATCACGAACTGATATCAGCTATAATGCCAGGATTTTATTTAGCCAAATGGGTGAATGAAATTTGCGCCAAAATCTAAGACCTATTATCGTAAATCTGATTGGTTCGTCCATAAATTATAGTTTCGCCATTATTAAGAAAAACTCTATTTGTTATAACAGAATAAACGTATAACATGTACAGATTTTACATTATATATGAATGGGTCAGTTTCTATTTTTATTCACCTTATTTTTAATAAACTAACGAATAAATAGATAATCATTTTTACGCACAAATTTTCCATATCAACTTGATGACAATGATGGTTCTCTTATAAATTCATGACCATAACTTATTAAAAGATTTCTTTATCAAGATTTTGTAAGTGATGATACATTTTACATAAAACGATTTTTGTTTACCAGAAAGAAAACTTTGGTGTGATACATAATGACAATCAGAATAATTAGATTATTTACTTATATTTCTATAATATTAATATTAGTTAATTGGTTATCAGTCTAGTAAAACCAACCAAACTATTCAACTCCAAGATGTTTCTCTTTCATTCTGAAATACCTATGATACATACAAACTATCCATTGTCTGAAAAGTGGTTTTAAAATCATATGACTATTTCAAGAATCATTTAATCTAATGCCTATACTACACCTTTGCCGAGTGGATCTTATTAGAACAATCATGTGTTTAGTTTTGAAACAATTAACAAAAGAATAATATTAGATTGTTTCGATAACTTTCATGTCCATTTAACCTTGATTATTTATTTGTTAACTGACATAACCAATGGTTCTACTACTTTGATTAGATATTTTGTGCAAAACAATAATCACATGGTCGTTTAATTTGTTGACAGTTCTGATGTTTGTAACTGATTTTGCCATGAAGACAATATAAATAATAGCTTGGAATAAAAATAAACATACACAGGAAATAGAAAAAACTATACAAATTAAAACTGAATTCAAAGAACATCACTAATTATGTACATCTGATTCAAATTTGTAACTACTGGACTACACTTTGTTGTATACTAATTGATCAAACGTATATATTTCGGTTACGTATTCACTTCAAATTGCTTAAAAAAACAGTCCTTAAATGGTTGTAAGAATTTGTATGTATGTATGCTAAATAAAACTTTGTAAACATTACGGCCAAAATGAAATGGTTAACAATAATTTAAACTTTATTCTGGTATTAACGGTAAGCTGTAAATTATAAGAAATACAGAACAAATGCCTTTAACTTAATCGTACATGTCATAAAAAGAAAATTAATTCTATGTTGCCATCGTCCTTTAAGAGTGTGATGTGTGCTACTCATCTTGACAGATATAAGTAGTATGTATCATGAATCGAAAGTGAAATGCCTGGAAGTAGAAGATCAAAGGGAACGAGAACAAAGTATGGTTAATGTGGAATCGAAAGAACAATGAAGTCTGAGACGATTGACTGACATTTGTCGAAGGAACAGTCAAGTTTGAAGCAATTGATTAACATTTTGCAAATGAAGTATTTACTGTATGATTCTCAGATTTCACCAAGATGTTCTGTAATTTTGTATTAAAATACATTCAATCGCCCCCAAACGTGTTCTTGTTTACTATAAGAGTACTAATTGGACAATATTTTCTATGAAGAACAATAGACAGATATAGATAAGATGTTAATTAGTTAACATTTTTAATCTACATGATAATCCTGTGTATCAGGAAATTTTTAGCTTAGTTATAGATGTCTTCACACAGGGCTACTGACAAGGGATTAAACCAGATATAGAGATTTATTTATCATTATGACGTCAAGGAAAGACTAGAAATCAGATAGTCAATAAAATCTAAGAATCAGTATGGGGGTTGTGGAGATTGTAAAGTTATTTGATTGAGATCATGAATCAATTGTTAGACCACTTTTGGAAACCTGGAAGCACTGGACGGCCGTTCCGTCCTAGTATGGGACTCCTCAGCAGTGCGCATCCGCGATCCTGCCCCCTGCGAGATTCGAACCCAGGTTTTATCGGTCTCTAAGAAGTTCGAAATGGTACATGAGTTATGTTTATTAACTATATATCTCCACCGGTATATACCATGAATTAGCTTAATTGCTAGCGTATTCCTTACTGATTCTGGAACATTATAAGCTATTATAGACTACTTTATAAACACATGGTGAGAATCTTCATCAGTGAAAACCGGTGTACATTTTACCCATGATATCTCTCACTAAAATCTAAATTTAGGTAGGTACATCATTGTTAGAAAATTACTTATACGCAATAAATATCTGGATTGAAAAAATAGTTATTATTTTTTTCATGTTAATTCATCGGTGACACAGTGTGTGTTGGCCAGAATTTTTAATTTTCAATTCACTACTAAGACCCCCTAGTTTATCTCTATATGTATCAATAAAAAACCTACCATTGTCATAAAAGAATTTGTTTTCAAAGATAGGAAGGTCAAATAATTTTAAACTGAATTTGTTGAGCGAATCAGTCATTTTCAACAGTTTACCGAATATAGATTCACCTTGCTAATACATACAAACAAGTATGAAATAAAGATTAAAATCTTTTGGCAACTGCTTTCAACTGTTAAGCTAAGAAATGAACGTCAATTCTTAGATACTCTTATTGGTTATGACCATTGCTAACGAATCAAATTGCTGCTTAAACGCCCACCACATCAACCTCGTCTTATGTGTCTGTAGACTGTCCTTGTTGCGTGTGACCTTCCAGTTGAAGGACAATATCATACCATATTAGTGTGGCTGAGACTCATAATTTTCTATTCATTTCTATACGATACGCAATACTGAAACAGATAAAGTGGTCAGTACCGTGTTTACAGTTCTGATAGAATATCTGCTGGACGAAATAAATCCAACAACTCCCTTGATTATTTATCGGTTTTCTTGCCGATATGTCTAATAGACTTACTTCTTCCTTATCAGAAGATGACTCTGGTGCACTTTCCACTCCATATTCATCGTCCACATATTTAGCCGGAGCAATGAGTTCGACCGGAGTTTTGCGAAATGATACAGATTTTCCTGGAAGAAAGAATTCATCTAATATGAATGAACATACTCATATTATCGAAATCCATAATTTCGTTCTCTTCTCGATTTTCTGTGTATTCGTCACCCAGAATATCTATATCTTCAGTTCCTTCACTTGTAACAGCAACTACTAAATAAATTATTCACAAATTTTATTGCAATGCTGCTCATCTACTATCTGAGTCAACTTCAAAAGGTATATACATATCCTCTTCACGTGTCTGAGTGAACTGACACTTGAATGTTCGTTCGACGCCATCATAGCATAAGATAGAGTAATATTCTGTCTCCATGATGTGTAAAGTTAAACTAATGAATATTTTTTCTTTATAACGAAGCTTAATCTGAGAATAATGAAAATGGGAGTTATTTCAGTCATGGCGGAGTTCTCGTAGCTAACTATGGCAAAAAAATGCTTTTGTAAATAAGTTATTTTTGGCACTCGCATTATTGCATGACACAAACTTCAAAATGAAAATACCAACAGCAGCTGTAGCAAAAAAAACGTGATACAGTATCCACTGATCAGTAGATCAGTGTAAAAAGTGAACGACAGAACGTGGAAGATGTTTGAGTGATCGTATATAAAAATATCAACTGTAAAAAGAAGGGTAAGACAACATACTAGACTTCCAACTAAGTATATAAACCAATCCACATAATAACACCATAACATAGAAGGTGCTTAAACATCCGATATTCTTAAATTTAATGGGAACCATGTATTAATGCATGTATATCATAAGATTGAAAACTTGATCACAAGAATAATGATAGCATAAACAATGTGAAAGCCCCTACAATCTTTAGATTTTCAATTCAAATTAACTGCGTTTAATAGCTAATAACGGTCAATGTTGGTTTAGAATAGATATCTGGAGCAAAATATGTTGAGATCGTACCATTTTCTAGCCCAAATTTACAGCATCTATACTGTTAAGCTGAAATTATCCGATTTTTGGTTGAACATAATACAAGTGATTTTCTCACTATAGCATATTGTTATCGTCAATTCAGTATGAAAACCGGTGGATCCTGTTAGCCACTGCAAGTATTGAAAATTCCATGAGCTAAAAACTACTTAAATAGTTTGCACAAACCGAAGCAGCTTTTAGTGAGCATTGTTTGCATAAAGCCTTAAAATTACACACACTTAGACTTTGTGTTTCTTATCATCGTCCCAGCGAAAGTGGAAGATATCGCTGACCAAGTCTCGACGATGCCATACTATGATTAATTAAAAGCATCAGTCATGATATGTACTTCGGTTCTTGAAGAGAAGCGGTCATAGAAGTTGTTGGTTGTCTTTAATTCCAACAAAGAGTAGCTATCACTTGCTTGCTCATGTGAACTGCTATTGAACTTCCTCATCCGAATCTGACCTATATCTCTCAGACGTAAAGACAAAAGCATTACGTCTAAAATCCCACTTTCTGAAATACAAAATTAAATAAATTTGGATCCTTCCGATAGTTAATGCTCTATAACACTCCCGTTGATATATTTTCTAACTATCTCAAACTTTTTCGATTCTAGTGTACCCCAGGGCACCATCTTAGGCTTTCTATTTTTCCTTCTCCACGTTAATGTATTACCACTGTTGCCTAAGTCGTCGAAATTATTGTTTGCGGATAGTGCGAAAATCCGGAGAACAATATGAAGTGAAACTGATTGTTTGGATCTCCAAGCTGACATAGATGAATTAGTTAGATGCGCTTGAGGTTGGGGCTTAGAAGTTAATTCTAGCAAGAGTGTGTTCATGCACATCGGACACGGTAATAGTTACCATTATAACATTGATGGTACATCTCTTCCACGCGTTCAAGAACATAAAAACTCAGGAGTAACAACAGGTCATGACTTGAAAACAATTACACATTGCAACGCAGCTGCTGCTAAAGGTTATCGTGAGTTATGGTCACTTCGCCGAGCATTCAAATGCTTTGACAAGGAAATGTTTCGAATTTTATATCCTACCTATGTAAGACCACACTTAGAGTACTGTATTCAAGCAGCTAATCCATGTCTGATAAAGGACACCAACCCACTTGACCGTGTTCAGCTTGTGAGAACAGAATTAGTGAAGGATCTTTCTAAACTTCTTACTATGAACGCTTAAAACGCCTATACTTTTCCCCTTATCGTACCGTAGGACGCGAGGTGACCTTATACTGGCATTTCGTATCTTTAACTATGATTTGGGTGTCAATATGTCTTATCTGTTTTGTCTCTCCAGCACTAATAATCTTCGAGGTCATAGCAAGAAGGTCCACAAACCGCGATCTAACAAGCTTAAAGTGGGGTCCCGTTTTTCTCATCGAGTAGTCAATGACTAGGACGCCTTACCTGAAAAAGTGGTATCAGCTTCATCAGTGAATATTCTCAAAGAGAAGCTGGACCTTCATTGAAGGGCAGTCCGTCGGGATTAACACAGGTTCATCAACCTACTATCCTTATTACTGAAGAATGACTTAAACTTGTTTTAGAACATTGGCCTAGATACTATATACCCGTTAGATTCTGTAACCAAAATAAGTAATTATTCAAATAAATTTTTGATGTACATCAAGGCTATAGCCAAAGCAAGCCAAAGAGGGAAAATAAAAACGAACACTGAGAAAATACAAGGGAACGCACCAAAAAGTTTCCTTTCTAGCCCGGCGTAAGGAAAAAATGGAACATTTCCCTCTTTTCGTCACCCTGTGTTGTAAATATTACTGCGCTGATAGCGAATAGTTTGTCTTTTGCCCTAATATCCACCTAAGTAGACAATTCGATGTAGATTCAGCTATATTTCTGACCCAAGGCAACAAAAGAGGAAAAAACACAATATTTGTTTACGGTAGGAGATAGAAATGATTTCCTGGTGCGTTTTCCCTTTTTTATTCCTCGTTTACTCAGGTAATTTTCTTTTTAGTCTTCGTCTTGATTTGTTTGGGTTATATTGTCATACAGCTTAACTCGATTATCCATAAAAGAGCACGAATAATGTGTCTGTATGGACAAAGAATGAAGATATGTGAATTATCTGGTTTCATGTTTTATAGTCGAGAGTCTGGCTGTAAATATTTTCATAAATCTCAGATTGTCAATGTGGGCCATAATTACATCACTAATACAACGATGCTAAATACATCACCAGTACAGTATGTTTTTTTAATATCTTGGAACAATTCCTTTTCACAGGATAAGCAGTACTAGTAATAATGGATTATATATATATATATATATATATATATATATATATAATATGTATATATACAATATGTATATATATATACAATATGTATACAATATGTACTAACACCAATTTCGAAAATGTTAACATTTATTTGCCCTTCTAATCGCCGATAGTGATTCGTTGATCAAGCAAATACCTCAGGCAAACAATAAGCAGAGCAAGTCAATTCATAGGCAATCATTAACATGGGATAATGAGCAACAATCAAGGAAGCAATATCCTATTTCGGGAAAATTTCGATAGGAAACAGTTCTTTTTCTGAAGTTCATGGGTCTTCATTGGTGAGCCAATAATCTGAAGTTTTGAAGATCTTCCTGTGAGTTTCAGTCTTTTTGAACCTTCTATATTTTTTCACACATGCAAAATTTTTTTCTTTTGATTTTAAGTATCTCGTTCTTATTTGGTAATATTAGTGATTGCATCTATAAAGGTAAATTTCACAGATTTTGACTGTGTAAACCTATGTTCTATTCCTCTACACTACATGACTAGTGCTGCCTAAGCGGAAACAGTAATTCAGACCAGTCCTATTTAGTCTGTCAGTTCAGTGAAATGTCACTGAGACCTAGCCAAATCATCCAACAGTCGGGTCTCTGAACAACAAACGGTTCATCGATCCTCTTCAATAGCAAGAAGAAACAACACACACTAATTACTTGCACAACTTGGACAGATACAAGTGGCAGTAATCTTACTCTGTTTCTTATAAATATTCTTAATAATAAATTTATGTTAAACGTTGTTTGTACTATAGGGTCTTCAAAGTGGCCATATCAACAGGTTACGAAGAAAAGATAATTTTCGTCAGGCATTAACCGCAATTTACGCTATTTTCGTCTAGCTTGAATAGTCCATCCATCACCTATACAGATCGAACAAAATAGTGATCTACACTGAGCAAGTGTTTGAGCTATGCAACTTAGTAAGATAATTATCTTCACTAATGTGTGTTTTCGTATGCCTTCATCGCATAAAATTGTCGATTAGTGTGATGTGATATTTAGGATGGGAATTTTCGCTATACTGCGTACAACTTGAGAACTAGTATGCTTGAACCCTCGAAGTCACAAGTTAGAAGACAGAAGACGAGTGGAAAAGAATCTTATTCCATCCAGTGTTCATATATGGTGTGTTAGTATGAAAAAATCATCACAATCATCCAGTCTGCATGCGGCGGTTTCTAGCATTTTTTCCAATCGGGAATCTGCACGTCGAGATTCGGGAATGTTCTTCCAAGCGATTACTGGATGAAATGTCTTCGGATTTTCTAACACTTTTCAGAGCTTCCTTAAGTTCACCAGGAACCATCCCCATATGCGAACATTCACCGCATAATCGCAATATTGATTAGTTTGTAGACCTAACCAAGTAACTCAATCGACAATCAGTTATCACAATTATTTAACAAGCACCAGCAGCATTTAAATGATTCTGTGTAATGTTTGTTAAAATAATAACCACCATTAAGTATAGCCGCGAAGAAACATAGATGCACTTCAGCCTGTGAAATATTCAGTTAATGTAAGCAATACTTACTACAGCGAAGACTGCATCTTCTGTAACAATTCAATGTTGCCTGTAAGCTGGCACACCACATACAACAGACTGTCATCTGAAAATAAACTATTATTATTGCTGAACTAGACATTGATTTCAACTTTTTCTCCCTGATTCCCTTGACTTTACAAGCTATATTATATGTCACAAACTGCCCCCTAAAATTGTATACTACTTGGCCACTGCCTGTCTTGCTTGGGATCGCTGGTTTTCATGATCACATAGAAAAGAAAGACGCCAAAAATTTACAGTGGATTTAGACTATAGTTTTCCGCAATCCTAGATCGCATTTTGATTGTTCATTCAATCAATGGCACGCATTTGGCTTGAATTATTTCTTGACACATACCTATACACATATTTAGCGCCATGTGAACGCAAGTATTAACCGGATAACACACTGCATTTGATCGAAATTCTCTTGGATTAATGGATCATATATTTATATATCGTATCAGATAACTGACTGCTCCAAATATTCATTACGTAAATGCT